CAACATAAAGAACAATAAGAATTCTAACAATAGAAAAATTCGAATAATAATAATTGATAAAAATGTCCAAATATTAGCGTTTGCAGATGATAATGATAGAGGCATTCAACCAAATAAAACGAGCTGCACAAAAATAATAAAACAAAATATATAAAATATTCACGTAAACACTAAATACTACTCCAAACAATTAATAATTTATTAACAAAAGTGACAGTTACAATTTTGGTGGGAGCGCTTATGACAGTTTTATTATTTGGCGAGAGCGCTAATACAATATAAATTTGTGCAACGCTGACTAGATATCGCCACTACCGTTAGTGTAGTATGTGTAATTGCATAGTTGCTAGGAATATAAGAAAATTTTGAAAAATCTCGTTTGAGATTATATTTCCTGATTGATATTGCGGAGAGACCCAAGTATACAAACGTCTTGGTGTTAGTTTGAAGAACGTATTTAGTATTGCGTAGTAATATCGAAAATTGTTATTATGACAAAATAATTAATTTGAATTATATCCTAATAAAAAAAAATTGCACCACATTGCAAAATTTTTCACAAATTACCGGTACCCAACATCATTTTTATTAACTAAAAATATGATAACACTTCCATTCCGATAAAAAATGATGAGCAAACTTTCACAAAACAAAAACATTAAAAATTTAATGAACCATGAAGTTAGTAACCTTTTTTCTATCAGAACGGAAGAGTTATCATTTATGTGTTATAACTAAAAATTATGTTCGGTATTGGTAATAACGTATTAAAACATTCTTTAATTCAAAACAACTTTTCATAATAAAAATTGTCCATATTATAAAATATACTCTTGGGAGAAAGTCATATCTCTAGACATAGCTCGTATAAGATTGATAAAATTTGATATCTGATGGTTGCATATTAGCTTTTAAAGTATGCAGAGCTTCGTATGAGAATAAATTTTTTCGTAAAATTAATAACAAAAAAGTTTCCCATATGATGTCGACTTAATTAGTGCAACTAAACCTAAAGTAGAGATTAATACTATCACAATAATTAATATTAAAACTCAACAGGCTTCCAGGTTGAATCGCGTCAATTATCACTGCGCCCAGCTTTCGACATCCTTACTGATGTCTTCTTCGGGGCTTCCAGGCCTCAGTCTCCCGAGCCCCCAGATACTACTACACTGATCATTATCCAATGCTTTACTGCTACTGGGAACAACGAACGGTTCATTTATACCGTCGATGGTGAAATGGTTTGGGTGGACGTTGGCGTGGGGTTTGCGTAGAGATTGGCGTGGGGATTGGAGCGAACATTTCTTACGGCAGTATTTTGATTGGAGAGTGAAGCGAACGATATTTTTTACGAGAGGTCTCCATATCGAAGGTAACCGGATGCTGTCATCTCTTTTATTGAGACAATTTGGCCTTTTTTCAATTTCTATGTCTTCTGGGATAATTCTTTGTTTATAGAAGTTTTCAAAATCAATTTTTTTTTTTTTTTCAAAATGATTTTGACCTAGAGCTGAAATTGAACCGTAATTGCGAACAAAAATGGAATGTTCATAAATCCTTTTTTTGGATTCTACGATTTGTTTGGCCTATATAAGATAAGGGCACAACTAATTTCATAATCTCCGTGTTGTTCATTTGAAAAAAATTGGACAAGAAATGAAAGTTGTTGTTGGGGGGCAAATATTATCTTTATTCCTCTTAATTTAAGAATTTTGTCGATTTTATCAGTGACACCTTTGATGTAAGAAAGAAAAGCTTTCGTATGATAGTCTGAGTCTTTGGGTTAAGATTGAGTGGAAGATTATTGTTTTTAAACTAGAGAGCTCAGCGGGTCTACTTGCATCATCGCAAAGGCGTATTGATCTGGAGACGAGGGTATTAATGACTGAATTAATTTGTGAATGTGGATGATAAGAGTCGGCATGTAAGTAACGATTGGTATGGATGCCTGGCGCAGTGATAATCGACGCGCTTTAACCCGGACGCCTGTTTAATTTAATATTTATTCTTATAATGGTACTAATCTTAGCTTTAAGTTTAATTGTACAAACCGCGGAATTATTTCGGAACATATATAGATATAATACTTACTTGCTGTTTATTTTCTTTTTACAGATTCTCAGATCATCTTACTCCTACTTCGCTGTATTACAACACATGTATGGCAACAGATCTCACTGAAATATTAATATACTTAAATATGTTCAAATAATTGTTATTCCGCACCAATACAAGCATATAGTTTACAACAAGTTAACATCTACTTTATAGTGCAGTAAAAATAAAAATGAACACATTATATCTTCTTTTAAATTAAAAAACAACCTGTTCTTTTCCTATAACACTGAAAAGTGATACGAAGAGATACAACTAAAGTTAGTTAAACCCCACGTAGGTTTGCTGTTACAATCATGCTTTTTATCTTTTTTGTCGAAATTAACATGTTAAATTTTCTGGAGGTTATATTAAATTGGTGCAGGATACGCTGTAAATCATCTTCACTTTTATAGTTTATTCGTCTTCCGGGTTTGGACCGTGTCATTTGTGAGTGACCCAAAAGTGGGTTCATCTCGACGTTTCGCTACAATTGTATGTAGCTTCTTCAGGAGAACAAAGAAAAAGAAACAAAAGACAGGAAGATGGGTAGTTAGCAACGGTAACTCAGTTACTCAACGCAACCAGAGACGAATACTAACTACCAAGATGGGCATTTGGTCACAGTAACTCAACTACTTAACGCAGCTAGAGGTGAAAACCAAATGCCAGGACAGGGATTCACGTCCAACAGCTCAGAACACTAACGCGTCGAGAGGCGGGGAGTGAATCCGAATTTTTTCATCTTCACTTTGAGATAGTAGTATGCGTCGTCTGCATAGCAGAATATTAACAGTTTTTTATCCCATTTGGTATCCTTTTTTAGTATTTCATCCATGATTAGGTTTAAAAATAAAGGGCTCAGGGAATCCCCATCTCTTATAACACTGCCAGCTTCAATTAACTCAGTTAGTTCTTCTTCTAGAGGAACAAGAAGAACACGGAAAAGACGAACATCATTTGAAGTCGCAAGGCGGAGTGCAGACAAGATATGTAGAAATAATGGTTTTGTTTTTGCTTAATTATGGATATTACTTGGTTGACTATTCGAGCGTTAAAATCACTCAGTACGATTATCTTTCCTCTAATTTGATCTACTACTTGTAATTCATCATAAAATATTGCCCTTGTTATTGTCTGGGCCGTATACTCCGAAGATCAGGTCTTTATTCATTCATCAAACTCAAGACAGAGAAAAAATGACCTATTGGTCGCAAACCTCATCGGGAATTCATTTAGGGGATCAACAATTCATAGTAGGTAGATGTACCTACCTACAAGGTCTGGCTATTAAATAACACGACTGCTTATGAAAAAGAGTTTTATTTTAAAAATTATTTAACAATCGAATGCTCTCCTTCAATATATCCCCTTCCCTCGCCACACACCGTTCCATTCGTTTTTTTCCATTGGTCAAAGCAATGCTGGAAGTCTTCTTTTGTTAGAGCTTTTAGGAGCTCCGCCGTTTTTCACTTCACCTCTTCCATCAACTCGAACCGGATTTCTTTTTAAGGCAGACTTGATCTTCGGAAACAGGAAAAAGTCACAGGGTGCTAAATCAGGCAAGTACGTCGGGTGTTCGAGCTCTGGAATGCCTTCATAAATAATTCTTACAAATAACGGTAAATAACGCTTCACAGACAGCGCGTTATTGACAGGAGCGTTGTCATGGTGCCAGATCTACGGCTTGTTTTTACACAACTCCGGTCGTTTCTTACGAACTCGCTCTCGTAGCGTTGCCAAAATTTTCAAATAGTAAGTTTGGTTTACAGTTTGATCCACTGAAAACCATTCAGTCATCACGATGCCGTTAATGTCGAAAAGAACGATTAGCATGGCTTTAAATTTTGATTTTGACATCCTTGTTTTTTTCATTCTTGGCGATTCAGGAGTTTCAGGTATATATATTAATATCCAGGTTTCATCGCAAGTGATGATGTTTTCCATTAAATCATGTAACCTTTCAAGAAAATCTTAGCAGAGCTGTTGACATACGAGCTTTTTATCAGAGGTCAAATTTTTTGGGACCAACTTCGCACAGACTTTCTTCATGTTCAATTCGTCATGTCAAATTTTTCTGACAGTTTCTTTATCTGCGTTTACAGTCTCAGCAATCATCTGAATGCTCATACGACGATCGACGTGCACAATTTCATTTATTTTGGTCACTGTTTGCGGAGATGAAACATAGACAGGTCGACCTGGACGTTGGTTATATTCGGCGCTCTCTCGACCTTCAGAAAACCATTTATACCATTCGAAAACACGCAGAGAATTCTCACCATAGGCCTCTTTTAACAAATTATAGCACTGAGTCGGAGTTTTTTTAATTTAATGAGAAATTTCACATTAATCCGTTGCTCTCTTTTTTTCGTCACCTCTATAGAAAAAATTTAAGATTTAAGATTCAAGATTCAAAGATGCAAGGAAGAAGATCTGTTGGCCGAAGGCAGAACTCGTAGTTAAAGAATGTACATGATTGGTATCAACAATGCAGATCGATTGATTTGTTTTAGAGCAGCAAGTTCAAAAATAAAAATAGTCATTATGATTGCCAACCTCCGTAGGGAGACGTCACTCTAAGAAGAAGAATAGAACAAATATTACTACAGCGACACAAATGTGTTTTCGTACTGGAAGAGTAGAGTTAGAGTAGACGCTTCCAGCTTTCCAATGCTGCGTTCGTTTCCCACTCTTTCCCTCTAGGACTCCTTCTGCGCGCGCAATCTCGTTATAGACGAGGCCGAATAGATGTAAATCTAGAGATCTAGAGTAATAGACAGCATCCACGCTTTGTTGTTCCACCAGATTTATCTTAATTGCATTATATTAATTATCAGAATATTCTCATAAGATCGAGGAATAACGGGAGCAGTGTCATAATCACAAAAATGAATCAAACATTATTTAAAATTTGTACTTTATTAGTAATAAAAAAACGTTTATTTACAAAAAATACATTTTTTCTTAAAAATCTATTTCGGCAATCTCTTTAATTCATGAGTTAGCCAAACTGCTGCTGAAAGCACGGCTAGTGATCCCGTTTGGTGTGAGGCCGCTATACTAGTTGGTACGTAAGTTAATAACGTAGTAATACCTAAGGTAACCTAAAACAAAAAAAATGTTCCCTGAAAAAATTTGAATCAATAGTTAAAAACATATTTTTAGTATGCAGGACTATAGTAGAAGCCTGACAGTTAGAATGCTGTGCAGGTAAGATAGGCAATGTACAGTAGTCTCTCTTTATAACGATTTCCTATATAACGATAAATCCTCTATAACGATGAAAATAGTAAACGTTGGTTGGTTCGTCATAAGGACAATGTATTAATTCTTTCTCTATACCGATATCGTTCTCTCTTTATAGCGATGACTTTTCAGCGTTTAATAGTCGATCGCAAATGTGTTATTGTGCTTAAAGTTCAGACTACCTGCGTCGCGAGTAGCAAGGTCAATGTCCAGCGGTTGTTTTGTTTTGCGCATGTTATTTCGTATAGTATTATTAATATTATAGTACCGAATTTTAACTCTCTGTATAAAGATCTCTCCTTATAACGATGAAAATTCCCGGTCCCTTGCACATCATTATAGAGAGAGAGGACTGTATTTCTTATGGAAGAACGGCCAATCACGTTGCCGGTTTGCCACGAGCGGCGCATCAGGACCGGATTTAAGAATCATAGCACTGTAATATATGCGCGCACAAGTGCCTACGGTTGTATAAAAGCCTTCAGTAGCTTAAAAGCCCTAAAAAGTATATAAAAGTAAAATTCACAAAGCGAAGCGCGATAATTGTTTAAAAATGTGAACCACAACAGAAAAGAATTTAAACCTAATAATAAAAAGTAAGGAAGCCGAAATTATCAATGAGCCAGATCAATTAGTGGAGAGATGGCCGCAGAATTTTGCTGACAAATTAAATATAGGCAACCGAGAAGTGACTGACATAAATGACCACAGTGGAGACGTAGACAATGAGAGGGAGAAAAATAATATACCAACAGAAGAAGAAGTTACCAAGGCAATAAAAATGTTAAATAACAACAAATCCCCTGGGGAAGATGGTATGCCCCCTGAGCTGTTCAAGTATGGAGCAAACGCCCTAAAAAAATACATAATAAAACTTGCAACATCCATTTCGAGAGAAGGAAAACTACCAGACAGTTAGAATGTAGGTATTATAATACCTATTCACAAGAAAGGGAATCCACTAATATGTGACAACTATCGAGGCATTATCCTCCTAAATACGGCTTACAAAGTACTGACTTATATACTTATGATCGATTACTAGTATATACTGAGGAAAAAATAGGCAAATACCAATGTGGATTCCGAAAAGAAAGGTCAACAATTGATCACATTTTCCTTCTCAGACAAATCTTAGAAAATCCATATGAATATGGAATTGATACTCACCACCTCTTCATAGATTTTAAAAGCGCTTATGACAGTGTAGACAGAAGCGCACTTTATAATGCCATGGCAGAACTAGATATTCCGTCGCATCTAATAACATTGGTAAAGGCAACTCTTTCGAAAGTTGAGTGTAAAGTCAAGGTACAATACGGAGTGTCAAGGTCTTTTCAAACATATACTGGATTATGCCAGGGAGACAGTATATCGTGCCTATTGTTTAACATCGAGCATAACAACCAAAGGTACGATCATTAATATAAGTGTACAAATATTGGCCTACGCAGATGACATTGACATAGTAACACGAACAAAAAGAGACCTGATACAAGCTTTTGAAATATTAGAAAAAGCCGTGAAGACAATGAGACTGCAGGTCAACGTATCCAAAACAAAATACATGAAGGTCACGAACAGCACACAAATAGCGGCACCACGAGATTTAGTGATAAAAGCACGCACATTCGAAGGAGTCTCGAAGTTTATATATCTTGGAACACAACTAAATAACAGCAACCTAGTAAGTGTAGAAATTAAGAGGAGAATATACCTGGCGAACAGAGCTTACTTTGGACTAAAGCAGTTCTTAACATCACATATAATTAGCAGAAAAACCAAGATACTAATATATAAAACTCTTATTAAACCTGTCCTGACATACGCGTCAGAGACAGGGACTATGGTATAAAGCGACGAAGAACTGTTAGGCCGCTTTGAAAGAAGAATACTTAGGTACATAAACGGAGGAGTACAAGAAAGCGGGATATGGCACAGGTGCTACAATTTTGAGTTCTATCAATGCTATAAAAAATGCAACATCGTCAGGTCTATTAAAATTAATAGACTAAGATGGCTAGGACATCTTGAAAGAATGGACACTGGACACTCCCAAAAACAGATATTATATCAAGAGCTAGTAGGAACCAGGAAGAGAGGCAGGGCAAGATCTCAACTCAAGTCAAAGATGACTTGAGGAATCTAGGGGTCAGAAATTGGAAAGCCAGGGCAGAAGATAGGAGGGAATGGAGACTAATTCTTGAACAGGCCAAGACCCACCCAGGGTTGTAGAGCCAAAGATGATGATGTATAAAAGCATTTCATTATTGTTTCAACTAAAGCATGATTCAATCATCGATGTATAAATAAGAGAGTTACATTGTCGAACTAAACAATAACATGAAAAAAAATACTATAAAAAAAGTAAAATATATCAAAAACTCATTGTTTATAACTTATCTATATTTATCAATTTTCAACAGCTTGCATTGTAAACACATTCTTTGGAAAATAAAGATCATTAAGAAAGTCATTAGGAGAAGCGAATCAGTTTTAATACCCATTTTCCAAGCAAAGCAAACATGTCTTTGTCGATATGGTTACTAGCCATTAGACCAAAAACTCGTTGGCAAAAACTATGAGTTTTCGAGACGAGTAAAACAAGTACAAAATTGAAACAATTGCTGAAAAATATGGCGTGAAGATTTTGAGACTGCCGCCTTACCATTGCGAGCTGAACCCGATTGAGATGATGTGGAGTCCAGTGAAAACGTATGTGAAGATTTTCACCTCTTACAACTATGTTTCCCATATTATAGTAATAATCAGTTATTTAGATAAAGAAATAATAAATAAGACTTACTCACAATCAATTTAATTTAACTATTGAGACGACCGGTTTCGCTTTCTACAATATGCAAAGCATCTTCAGGTTTCGATACAAAGTTAAATAAATGCTGAAATAATAATAAACCCATATTAGGGTGTTGTCTAATAAAGATAAACAAAGTAGATGATATAAATTACAGTAATTATGCCAATATTACATGTCTGTGGTTTTTCGAAATAAATAAAAAGGAATAAAAAGGTATAAAAAGGAATAAAAAATAAATAAATAATTTTTATTCATTTCGAAAAACCACAGACATGTAATATTGGCATAATTACTGTAATTTATAACATCTACTTTGTTTATCTTTATTAGACAACACCCTAGTATGGGTTTATTATTATTTAAGCATTTATTTAACTTTGTATCGAGACCTGAAGATGCTTCGCATATTGTAGAAAGCGAAACCGGTCGTCTGATAGTTAAATTAAATTGATTGTGTGTAAGTCTTATTTATTATTTCTTTACCTATTTGAAATGGACTCATACAAGCAACACATTCATAATCAGTTATTTCTTTTACTTCAGAGTATGCCTTTCTTTTTCTAATTTTTAAGAATCTGTCAAAATTACACAAGATTCCTGTTCATAGTTTTTATATTTCGGTAATTTGATTTGACACAGATGATGATATGCACCTAGATAATATCACCAGTCGACCTACAACACTGACGTCTCTGGACTGGATAGTACAAAACTTAATTTACTAGAGAAAATTGAAAAAAAAATGTCACGACTTGTTATTAACGATGTAACTCGTATTAGGCCAGTCCAATGCATAGTTTAATGTGAATGAAATGTTGAATATCTTATTTTTAATATTATAATAAAATATAATATTATTTGTTATAGTTTAAAGTGCTCAACGTTTTCCTACGAGCCTCTAATTACCGATTTCACTATTTAAGAAAGTTGAGTAAACACCACGTGATCAGCATGTGATTCCGGTTACTTTTGGTCAGTTCTACCGCCTTGTTTTAGATGACTGATTCTCATTATTTGTTTAAGAGACTTGAATGTGTATTATATTAAACTTACTTGAAGGTAAGCTAGTAGCCCTAATACAGTTGCTGCGGTGTAAGCCTTTGGTGGTAATACTCTTTTCTTCGACAAGTACCAGAGTGCTGTTATAACACCTAACGTAGTTGTTCCTAGTAGTCTATGATCGAACTGTACAGTTGTTGGGTTTTCAGTGAAATTTGTAAGTTTCGGACTGAACGCCATTATGTCAGAGGGAATCCACCTGTCGGCCATTTTGGGAAACGAATTGTAAACTAATCCGGCATCTAAACCAGCAACAAAGGCGCCTAAAAAGTGAAATAATTATATTTAATGAGCATAACACAAATACACTGTCTTTATTCTTTATAAACAACTATAGAACACTTGTGCAGAAGGACAAAAATAATTATATTAGAAACATATGTGTACAACTAGAAGGAACATGCTGACCACCAAGAATCTAGAGAACTTCTCTCAACAGTCAAGTATCTAGCGAAAGAATTCAAACCGCAGACACAGATCATCAAAAAGATAATAGTGGAAATACCATAACAAACCCAGACGGTATCGCAGAGGTGTGGAAACGATATTGCGAAATACTATTCTCTAACAACGACCCAGACAATAATACAGAGAAAAAAAGTTATGAAAACGAACCTCAAATACTGAAATCGGAAATTGAGACGGCAATTAAAAAGCTAAAATTCAGAAAAGCAGAAGGAATAGATGGAAAAACAGCTGAAACACTCAAAGAAATGGGATAGTGACGGAAGTAATGCTTAGAATTTGCAATGAAATCTGGAATACCGAAAAGTGGCCAAATGGTTGGGGTAAACCTCAGCTTGATTCCCATATATAAAAAAGTTCACCGACAGATTGCAGTAATTACCGTACAGTAGCATTGATATCACACGCAAACAAAGTACTTCTAACCATCATCAATCAAAGGCTAAAATCAATTCTCTTACCAAAAATTCTCCAAGAACAATGCGGATTCGTCCCAGGTAGAGGAACAAGAGAACATATTCTTAATATTCGTTAAATTATTGAAAAGTCTCGAGAGTTTAACATAGAAACATTTATGCTGAATAATACTTCCAATGTAAGAGTTAATAATGTGGTTTCGAAAAACTTCAAATTAACATCTGGAGTTCGACAAAGATGTATATCCCCTATTCTATTCACCTTGAGGAGTGGCAAGGTGCAGCAACGATAGGAGGAAGAAAAATCAAAAACCTATGTTATGCTTATGACACTGTTTTATTGACGTCATCACCAGAAGAACTGGAACAAATTATGAATAGGCTAGGTACGGTGAGTACGGAATATAGTTTGAAAATAAATATGCAGAAAACCAAAGTGATGATCATCAATAGAATCAGAAACAATCACGCAGAGATAAGAAACATGGCAGGTTAAGAAGTGGTCAGGTAATTTAATTACTTAATTTTCGTTATTACTAACAGTGCAGGATGCAAACCAGATTCGTTGACACATCACAATGGCCAGATCGGCAACAGCCAAACTCAAAAAAATTTAGAAGAACACCAACATCACAAAAAACACAAAATTACGCCTAGTTCGAGCATTTAACATAACCTAAAAACTCTATCTTTAAATAAAAATTTGTTACATGTTTAGTTAAAAATATTTCCTTACCTGACACAGCCGTTAGAAATACCAGGCCTTTAGCTGTATGTGCTAGCATCCTAAACCTCCTGGACTTTTTCAATATTCTTTGACTTACGATGACAATTGGTTTAGCTGGTGATAATATATCTAAAGCAGACCAAAGGAACAATGTATAAAGAATAAATGCCAAACTAAGATGAGACGCAAGTCTATACTGTGATACTCTCGGTACATCACTCTCTCCATGGAAACGATCTTCTAGACCTGATTTAACCATATACCAACCCATTAGACCCTAAAAATTTAATCGAATTAAACAAAAAAATATTATATCGCACACGCTATGTGAACTAAACTAACCATCTTATTGGTCTCATTTTTTTTTTTTATTATGACACAATCTTTAGCAATCAAAACACAAATAAAGTTCTATAAGCTAATTTGCTGGCTGCGGGGCAAGGGGCCCCATTTGGCGTGGTGAGGTCCTCGCCAGTGACAAGACCACTTTAACCGTTTTCTCAGGTCAGCTGGCCAGTTCCTTTTGTCTCTTATTGGCTTGGTGTTCTAGCAGAGGTTGGAGTAAGGTTTTACTATGTGATTCCAGTGCTTCATGGTGCTTCGTGCTGTATTTAGTGATTACAACCTGTACGAACGGGATTCTTAGCTCTTCATGAAGTGTTAGGTTTGATACACATACCAATGTGCATCAACTATCGTTCGGAGTATTTTTGATTGGCATCTTTGAATTATGACTGTGTCGCTCAGATAGCCAAGCGAGCTGGGCGGTTGGCTTCGCCTTCGCTTCAATGCGAGAGAGGTCAGTTCAAATCCCCAGCTCGGTGTACATAAAACAAAAAGGCTAACGCAGCAGTTTAAAATTTTAAATGAATCTGCGGCTTAGACTAGAATATGCTAGTGTTTGATCGGCCTATGGTGGAGCAGTACGACAAGAGATCAGGGCTTGCGGCTCGGTGATACTCCTCCACAGATCATATCTTTGAATTATGACTGTGTTTGACTTGCTCGCACATCCCCAGAGTTGGATTCCATACGTTCAGATAGGTTCTATGACAGTTTGTTTGTTTGTTTGTTTATTTAACGGGATGAACCCTTTTTCCTTACAAAAATTACAATATACACATATAATTAACATATAAACTGTAGTCATATATTACAATTTTAAAAAGTATTATAACCCGACAAGCGAGAGCTGGCGGGTTGCGTGTAGAACAAATTGATAAGTGGAAGCAATTGCTCATTTCTATTGCAGTCGGCTAGGAGTTCACATCGTGTATAACCGTTTAAGTACCTATACTATATACCTATAATCGCAATTAAGTACCTCCCCTATCTCTCTTAGAATAATTCCTTTTCTATTTTCGCTCAGCTCACCCGCCAGTTCTCGCTTGTCGGATTATAATAACATTAATGTCTCAATTTCTTTAAACTGTTCTTGAACGAGGACACGGATAAATTAAACAATTCAACACTATCTTGCAAATTATTGGCAGTTCTCAACATCCTTGTGATTGACTCACTTTTACCATAATTAGTGTGATGAAACTTTAGTCTAAACAGTTCAGGAGAGCGTGTTCTTCTAGAATTTACATTAAAAACAATTAATTCCAGCAGTTCCGGACAATCAACATAACCATTAAGAATTTTATGCAAAAATCGCAATTCACACTCAGATTCTCTATTTTCTAAAGTTTTCATATTAAGTTGACAAAGAATATAGTTATAATCACAGTTAGTTCTATTAAAACCCATTTTATACCTGCAAATTCTTAGGAATTTATTTTGAACTCGTTCCAACTGATCAATATACATATTATAATATGGATACCAAATAATATTACAATATTCCAAAATGGACCGAACTAGAGAACAATACAAAATTTTGAAAGCAAATATTGAAAATTCTCGGGAGTTCCTTTGAACAAAGCCGAGCATTCTATAAGCCCGCGATGTAATATTATTAATATGCCTATCAAACATTAGTCTTTGGTCAAATGTAATTCCAAGGTCTCTAATTTGATTGACTTCTGTAATCGATACTCCCTTAAGTATGTATGTTCTATATAACTGATGTTTAGTATTTCTGGAAAACGTAATTTTATAGCACTTTTTTATATTTAAATATAAGGCATTAATGTCACACCAACGAGATAAATTATTTAAGTCAGACTGAAGAGCATCCATGTCAGAGGTATTTTTAATTGCTTTAAAGATCTTTATGTCATCAGCAAACAATAGAAATTCACTATTATTAATTACTGATGATATATCATTCACAAACAGATTAAATAGAAGTGGGCCTAAGTGAGAACCTTGAGGTACACCCGAAGTAACATTAATCGCTTCAGAAAAAAAATTACCATATTTTACTATTTGTGAACGATCTGTTAAATAACTCGTGATCCAATCCAATAAATTATCTCCAATTCCGTATCCACGAAGTTTAGCAATTAATATTTCGTGATTTACCCTGTCAAATGCTTTGGCAAAATCAGCATATATGGAGTCAACTTGGTTTCCCGATTCCATAGAATCAACAATGAAGTTTGAATACAAAATAAGATTTGTACAAGTAGATTTCTTTTATTGAAACCATGTTGTTGACCGAGAATTAAATTTTTACAATCGTAGGTTAACATATGGTTAACAAAAAAATCAAGCAACTTTGGTAGTTCAGACTGCAAACAAACAGCCCTGTAATTTTCAACATTATTATTTTGACCAGATTTAAAAATGGGTTTTAAAAAACTCACTTTCCAAAAATCAGGAAATGTAGAAGATAAGGACTTATTGAATAATAACTGAATAGGTTTAGCAAGAGTGAATACACATTTTTTAATAAAATACATTGGTATACCATCTGGACCCGCTGTCAGTTTCCACGGATTATTCTGTATCTTATCAATAATATACTTAACATTATAATAATAGTCTCCCGTTTTATACCGCACGCGGCTTTGGGAGTATAGCAGGGTAGTCTGCTATATCTAGGGCCTACGGTATACAAGGAAGGTAACATGGCCAGTGCTACGCTTCAACCGCCTATTATTACCCCTGGTTTTACCCAAGGTACTCATTTTATTCAGGCTGAGTCGACCTGGGGCCTATAGACATTTTAAAAATGCCTAGTTGTTCTTGCCGGCGGTAGGATTCGAACTCACGACCACCGGCATGCGAGGCAAGCACACTACCGCTTGCGCTACGCAGGCCCTCATATACTTGACATTAATTAAATAATTATTAGCATTAACATAATTTTCGTACTTAAAATTAGGAATCTGATTTATTTTTTCTTTATTATAGACAGTCGAAAAGAACCCAGCAAATAAATTTACAATATCTGAACCATTTTCACTACTTTCATTACCATAACTCATACTCGATGGTAGAATATGAGATTTGCGTTTATTATTAATATATTTCCAGAAAGAACTAGAATTATGAAAAATGCTAGCCTCAATTTCATTCACATGACGCCTTTGTAAATACTTGCTAAGCTCTTTACATTGTTCCCTGAAATCGGAAAAAAGACAATAGTTTTCATCACCACCAGTCATTTTAAATTTTTTATGTGCTTTTTTCTTCTCATAAAGTAAATGTTTTAACTCTAATGTAAACCATTTGGGATATGTAGATGTTTTAAATTTTTTTAATGGTATAAACAATTCGATTAAATAAAATAAAATATCATAAAAATCTTTAACTACGTCATTAATGCTTTTGTTAAGAAATAATAAATTCCAGTCAACTTCTGCTAAATAATAATTTAAAGCAACATAATCACCATTTTTAAAGTCAAAATTGTATTCTTCATAATTAAGGACAGATTCTTTTATATCAACAATTACGTCAAAATTGACTGGTGTATGATGAAATCCCTCCTCAAATAACGGATCCAGAGGTACAGAAACAGATATATCAGGAAAGCAAGAAAAAATTAAATCAAGAAAAACATTTCTCCGGTTGGATATCGTATTGACCTGGTATAAGTCACAAATATTAATGATATTACATATATCGTTAGCTGGTGAGTTTTGGTTAGCCTGTACCGTGGTACCATAAAGACTGTTAACCCAAACTACATCAGTTGAACAGGATGATTTTTTGTATGGACAATGGGGAACCCGTGAACATTACCTTTGGCAGTGACAAATTGTAAGTGCTTTCGTCAAGCTAAATTGACTGTAGTTTCTCCCAATGTTCAGGATCTTAACGAGGATTGCGAAATACCTTTGTCATAGTGGATTCAAAAATTTAGTGTAAACCAGACAGAGTTTGGAACTGATCTTGACTCCTATATTTCAGTAGATGATCAGGTAAGAACATTTCAAGTTTTAAGTGATAAAGAAATTGTGGAACAAGTGCTAAATGTGGAAATAGATGTTGATGAAGATAACGAAAAAGAAGACGAAGACGACAGGGAATCATCCACAACTACCAAAGAAGCAGTTCAGCTTATTAAGGACACTAAAGAAAAACTTTATTTTTCGGAAAGGGTTGTGCAGAAGAAAATAACTGACTTTTTTCAGCATTAGAGAACTTTTTCATAAAAAATGTAAGTTTCATATACATGATATGTTTTATTTCTTAATTTTTTTGTAATAATAAATAATGCTGTAATAAAATTTTGCCTTGTTAAAATTTCATTTTCTCTACCTCTTTTATAACATCATTCTAATATAGCATCTTTTTTACTGGACCTTTCAATGACGCTATAACTTAGTTCCACTGTATGTATTTTTAGCTACTTAGTCCTTAAAGTGTTTTTCTTCGAATATTTTGTCTAGAAATTAAGTGTTTCTCTTTTCCGCATGTTTTTAAGACGCAAATTGAAACCTTGCACAGAGTGAAAGAAAAAAATGCTATACTATAAATATACAAAAGTAAACAAAGTATACTTTTCATCAAATTATCTTACCTGTGCTCCAATTAAAGTTCCAAATGCCAAAATCCTTTTTTTCATGCCGGGAGTGAGTCTGCCCCGTGTCCAAAAATAAGCTGCTGGGATTAAAAACATTGCTCCTATGGCTCTACCCCACTGTCTATGCGTATACTCCATAAACCAAATAAATTTAAACTCCTTCAATGTCATTTCTTTGTTTTTTCTAAAAATAAAATATAATTATCAGTAATTAATTCTGCTTTTTACAGTAGAGTATCAAAATTTTAGACAATAAATTCTGAGAAATGATAAGATTAGGGCTTTTTTCAAAAGAGGAGGTTGTCACAAATTCACATGGGACCTCAGGAAGTGAAGCAGGTAATAGCTTCAACAGAAACCTAAAGTTTTATTATTAAAATGCCAGAGGATTGAGGACAAAGTGATAAGACTTTTTTGCTGCAATTGCAGTTGAAAATTATTATTTTATTGCAATAACTGAAAATTGGCTGACAGAAGGGATAAAGGACACTAAACTGGTAGATCAACTATGTACTGTATATAGGAAAGACAGGAGCAATGGAAAACCCAGGTAAAAAAATACTCATAAGTGTTGATGTTAATTATGTTGCTGTTTTAATCGAGTTTACTATCCTGTGTATTTCAAAACGTAGTGAATGATATTTTTATTTATTCATTAATGTAGTAAAGACTTTGTATATTATATTGTTATATAAATTTTGTGGTGAAAACATTCAGTTCATTTAATAAAATCCCCAAGCGCTAAAACATCGCCTGAAAATAGACGCAAAAGAAGAATGGAGCAAAGAAATGTATTAAAAAACATGTAAGTATTTTGGTTTTAGACTCACTTTAACAGCAGAGCAAATGTTTCTATAGATAATAATATATACTAATGCCCATTTTAATAGAACTTGAAGTAGGTAATACTTTATTTTTCATAGGTCTTTAAAAAAAGTTACTTTGGATGTACATATGTAGTGTGTAGTGAACTGGAACATATTTTTCGTAGTTATAATGGCGACACATTAAAAATAACAAAAAATTATTTAAAAAACTTAATAGAAGCTGCAAAATATGTAAATGTTAGCGAAGATGTAAACTTACTTTTTTTTAGATGTAAAATGTATTTTAAAGTACGAATTCTAAATCAAAATATTAAATAATTGATGGATTCAACCGTAACTTGATGAAAATTCATTTTATGTAACAATAAAACACTGAAAACTTTGTTTTCAAACTTCCACAAAATTTATTTTAACTTATCACTACAGTTGTTTCGGCTAATTGCCTTTCTCAAGTGATCTATTTTTGGCGTGGGTTTACATTTTATAGTCTCTAATGAAATAGGTTGAGGAGGGGTGAACTCTTTGTCTCAAGTTGGTCATTCAGAATTATATCTGTGTTTTTTAATTTGTTGATTTCCATAGATTCTAACAAGGATAGCTTAAGGCGTTTATTTTGAATGTGAAGAATTTTAAATTCGTCATTAAAAGAATGATATTGATCTAGAAGGTGAAGTACGTATGTAGAATCTGTTTTTCTATTATTGAAAGCCCTTTTATGTTCTGCTATTCGTTTATTAAAGTTTCTACCAGTTTGACCGATGTAAGTTTTTGGGCAGACGCCACATTTATCAAAATAGATCATTTGAGAAAGGCAATCAGCCGAAACAGCTGTAGTGATAAGTTAAAATAAATTTTGTGGAAGTTTGAATACAAAGTTGTCAGTGTTTTATTGTTACAAAAAATATTAAAGATAATTACAATATCCGCAAAAAAAATTACAAAAATTGTAAAATAAATGTCTAAATGATATTCATAATGTCTCAAGTATGACCCGCTTTTCATTTATGATCAAATTCTTTACATTTTGCCGGCCTTGTATATTTAATTTATGTTTTGTAGCAATATTTATTTTGTTTGTAATACACACAATCAAATCGTAGATTCATATATTTCTTTAATTAATTTTACAAATTACTTATTAATTTTCAAAACACGTTTTCACACAAAGTAACTAATTATGACTTCTTAGTGCAAGATATGGCATCGAGGTATACTTACCGTTAACAGTTTAAGTTTCGAAGTTGTTCATTACAGTAATAGAACAACGTTGCCATATAATGCATCGTTAAAATATGATACATACAAGTCCCCTGGCTTTGTCTCGCTATGACGTCATGCGCAAAGTCGATTAAAATTAGAACGGCAAGTGAGCATATCTTGTTGTTATAGTATCATGTCCTAAACATATAATAGGGTAAATAAATTCTTCCATGACAACAAAACACTCAAAAGATGTGATACTACTGACAACCGCCTTCAAAATATTGATCAAACAATACCTTCAAACCAATTCGGTTATATTTAAAAGTTGATTTAATTTTTATACCAAAAATGAATTCTTTGCAGCGATTTAATCAACGGAGACAAACTAATTTGTACCATCAATCGTTGGTGGTAATCCCTCCTCCTCCGTCAAAGTTCAGTCTCAGCGAATGGCATTTGAACAACATTTTCAGAGATAGAATTTGTTTAGATCAGCAGAAGTTAGCGGATTCTGTTATAGCTGAAAATGATAGAGCTATCGACGAAGTCCAGGACAGAACAGATTTAAATAAAAGAGAAGTTGATCATCATTTAAAAGAAAAACTTACTGATGTCGAATTTATCCAGTCAGAAATCGAGAAGCAAAGAAAAGAGGTAAAGAAATAATGTTCCTTTTTTACTTTATACAACTAAATCTTCAACTTATGATTATGTACGGAAACTGTAAATTTCTAATTTTAATGATATCTAAGTAGTTAAAATTTCCAAAGGAAGCGGTAAGTTTTTCATAACTGTACTTAAATGAATTCATGTCAAAACTTACGTGGTAACCTGCCCAAAAATTAGTATTGTGAAATAATTTTTGAACTTACGTACAAAATAACTACGTTAAATGATAACTATTCAAAAACCTCTATTTTAAGCAAATAGTCGTTATCCATACTGCCGTAATTTTTAAATTAACTGTACTTAAAGATAAAATTACAATTAAAAGCTGCAAACTAGGGATTTTGTTGATGTTGCCGTAATAAGTTCGCATTTTGATTGAGAAATTAGTTGGGCTATCACTTAAAAGATGAGGAAATAAGTTCACTTGTCATTTAGTAGAAGCCAGCAGTGATGTATTAAATGGCGACAGATGCGCGTTTGCCGAATTTAAGAAAAATCTGCAAAACATTGAAAACTAGTTTTGTGGTTATGCCAATTGTTTATGGGTTATGCAGTAACCATGGTAACACGAATCACGTGGTTTTGTTTAGCAAAGCGCCCCTCCCAGTTAATATTTTGGCTTCGCTTCTTTCGTCTTATCTTTAAAGGCATTGTGATGTCTCTACTACAGAGAGCTTTCTTCATTTTGTTAAATATACTTTTTGATTATCCTATTCTTGACCTACCTCTGCCGTGTTTATAGTTCCCAGATATTTATATTTTGGAACTTTCTTTATTGTCCCTTTGTGATTATCATAAATTGCGTCTTTTTATATTTAGAGACAATCCGTTATCCTAGCTGACTTATACTACTGTATCGATCATTTGTTGCAGATCCTCTAGACTTTCAGCTATTAGGACTGTATCATCTGTAATGTTAACGGGCCGTTCATTTACTTTTATATGGAAATAAAATACCTTTGAATTACGTTGGGCAACTTTGGAGACCTGGTCAAAGAAGTGAGAAAGCACGAACAAAAAGCAAATAAACTGGCAAGATGCCTTAATAACACTGTATGGCAAAACCAACATACTACATATTATTATTAGCTAAATATTATTAGCTTGCTGCTTTTATTGGCTGCAATCCTGTGCCGTATGGATAGCTTTATGTAGGGATTTTCCCACCAGAAACTTTATTTGGTCTGCCCATCGTTTTATAGATCTTCCTCTTAGATTTCGGCTTTCTATCTATCTATTACCAATAGTTTCGTAGTCCCCATAGAATTCTGCTATAGACCCATATTTTTTGAAAGACCAAATGATAGAAGATTAGGAGGCCCTCCCAACGAAAGATGGAAGGATGATGTCGAGCAGATTTGTCTAGAATTCAGATACAATGATGCAAAATGGGAGCACAAGATCCTAAGAGATGGAGGAATAGTGGAAGGGCTCAGATTTAGATTTTCTAATGTATGTCTGTAATCAATAAAGATACAAAGTCCTTAAATAATTTTACACAACCAAATGACTACAAAAATGATATGAGTTCCATTTATAATATTTCACAGGTATGCAAGGAAGAAGAAAATCTTCAAACATACATGGAGAGAATAAAAGACTGTTTGGAAGCATGCCAAAAGAACGGTTTGGAAATTGTAAGAAAATGTATCATTTTACGAGAAGGTAGAATAGGAATCGATTTGTGTTTCGACGATGTTGATAAGGAATTAAGAAAAGAATTATCTGTTCTTGACGGGGGTATCAGTTTGTTACAGAGAACTTTGGAAGAATCCAATGAACAGGTAACGTATAATTATTTTTAATGCTTCTCTGTCGATAGATATTTCCTTGTCCCTTTACAGAAAAGAAGAATAGAATAGAATACCGACTAAGTCTTTAATCTGATCAATTCTACATCTGCCTCTTCTAAAATATCCGTGATATTCAGCGATTATTTCAGATTCATACCCTGTTAGTCAGTTTTTTATTAATAAAGTCAATGTCTTATATGTTACATCTAATAGAACAATTCCTCAATTTCGGCATGAGCTTTTATCCCCCTTTTTAGTCGTTTGAGTAATAGCTGTCCACCTTCCTTGAATATTTCTGGCGTTATACCGTTTTCTCCTGGATTTATGTTATTCTTCAGCTGCTTTATTTTCTCTATCTCCTGTTCTGGTGAATTGTTTATTTCGGCCTCATTGCTGTTTTTTTTTGTAGTTTTACTGAGTTTAGCAGTTCCTCAAGGTATGCTGCCCACCTCTATAGTTTTCTTTGTAAGTCACCTCGGTAAGTGTTATTTCCATCTTTGTATTATTTCATGTGCTGTTTTAACTATATTTCCTTGTTTATCTTTAATTTGTTTATTAAGTTTTAGTGTTTTCTCTATCAGATTTCGTATGATGGTGTATTGCGTTCTTTCTGACATTTTCAGCATGTCATTTACGTAATTCTTTTTATCTTTTTCTGACTTCCTTTTCAACTGCTATATTTTTTCTTTGTATTTTTCTTCCCCTGCTTTTCCCTCTACGGTTTTTTTTCTTTTGTAACATTTCTTCTTTAATTTTCTTTCTTCTATTAGTTGTAATGCGCATAAACACTTCTGTGTCAACTAAAACAATACAATATTTTACTCCAGCTTTATTTTATACATTTTGACTAAAGATTTTCGTTTAAGATTCGACGACTGAGATCGACATTTTACTTCATGGATCGAGATTTGACAGACAAAAGCACAACCCATAAAATCGATCTGCTGAATAGTTCACTTACGAACACAAGTCTGAACCTGAGTATATACCATGGTTTTACTCCATTGGATCCTGCTAATATCACTCTTCAAGAATGGGAAAAGTTTTACAGCCGATAGCATAGCTAAAGGTATATTATTAACAGCATCAATAATTTAATTAATTTAGTGTTTACTAATTATTTTCGTTTGTTTACACTTTATACTGTACTTATTAATAGTAAAGTAGTATTTTTCTAGGATCTTATTCTTTTTAAGGTTCTATTTTCTCTCGATGGTTGGCGATTATCATGATTATTTGAACTTTGTTCACTGCTACTCTCATAAGCTAGTTAAATGAGCAATTAGGTCACTCTCTGAGATTTTACAGCCATGACATTTGTCGCCTTCGAATGCTACGCTTTCCTAAAATCTTTCCTAGCATGATATTTTGCAGAAGCTGGTTGGGAGTAATATATAAAGACAGAAATTCGACTACATTTGTTCACAAATATATAGTAGCAAAAGTGAAACACAGTGAGATCAAAAATAATTCAATAACTCTGTGATACCATATGGAATATCTCAACTGGAAGTAAAACAATAATTAACAAAACTGTGTGAGACATAACTTACTTTTTATGAAATTTATGTCAGAATATGCTTGACTCCCATCATTTCTCGTATTCTCTCATTTAGTATCCGATCTCTTCTTGATTTGCCTGCTGCTCTTCTCCAGAAGTACATTTCTGAATGCCGTTCATCATGAATATGGTTTTTCTACCCTGTATGTTCCTGTCTTTTATAACAGCATCGAGTGTTCCATCTTGAGTTATCTTCATACCCAGGTAATTTCTACCCCATCGTCTAATATAATGCACTGCTTTGTCCCTCCAATACACATGGCTTCAGTTTTCTTAATGTTGACTTCGAGACTCCATTTGTTATATTCTTCTATTAGCTTCCGAGTCATGTAACTTAAGTCGTCATGATCCTGAGCAATCATTTTCTTTTCCACAGCGTAAGTGCTTGTTCCAGATAAATTTTGAAAAGGGTAGGCGAAATACAGCAACCCTGCTTTAGTCCTTTCGTGACCTTAAATCCCTCAGATATCCTTGATCCAGTTTTAATTTTTGCAGTTGTTCCATTATACAGACTTTCGACTGCTTTGATAAGACCATGCTTAATGTTGGTTTGTTGTAGGGTTGACCATAGTTTACTGAGGGGTACACTGTCATATGCTTTTTGTAAGTCTACGTACACCAGGTGAACTTCTTTATTTACGGCTGATTTTTTCGTAATAACTTGCGTAATAGAGTACAACTGGTCTACTGTGGATCGCTGAGCTCTAAAACCAGCTTGCTCTTCTGCTTCGTAATCTCTATAGTCATTTTCTATTTTGTTCTTAATAACTTTCCCATACATCCTACTTATTGTGCTGTTTACCGCAATTCCTCTGTAATTTTCATACTGACCCTTGCTGCCCTTTTTGTGGATAGTTGACATAATAAATAATTTCCATTCTTTTGGTAATTCGGGCCGATTTAAGCAGTCTTGAAAAAGTTTTCTTGACTGTTCCTGGAGTTTGTCTGTACCGGGATACACTAATTCTGCAGGGATGTCACCAGGACCATCACACAGAATATCATGTACTTAAAATTAGTGACCCTACCATACTTACATACTACTATTTTAAAAAACGTTACTTTTCCAGCTGCAAAAGAAATTTCGTGTGCCAGACAGCTGCGGTCTTACGTAGACATTTTACTGAAACAAGCTATTGACGACATGGACATGCAATGTAATGCTACAAATAATGCTTTTAGAAGAAGAATAGAAGAACTGAAGCACATTAAAACAAGACTGGAAATCCAGCACTCAGAAATTATGAGACAGGCTAATGAAATGACTAGAAGTATTACCAAACTTGAAAAAGCTCTAGTTGAAAAAGAAGGATACATGGCTCTAGCACATACCAGGTAATTAGATTAATATTACTAGAAAAGGTTATGAAATGATATGTAACTTAAATATTTATATGGATTATAGGTGTAAATAAAATTCGTGTAAAAATGCCAATATTTTGGATTTAAAAAATAAATTAACTTTCTAAATGTTGATGCGTCTAAGTTATTTTAAATGTTTATAAGTTTAATTTTGTTTATAAGCCTTGATTTAATTTTTGGACAATACATTACTTAAGTATGAAGATTATCTTACGAACGGGGTTGACTGTAAAAGATTACAGATTTTGATAATTTGTTTTTAATGTATTGTAATACGTGCATTTCATTTTAGGTTGGGTCATCGAGCCCAGAGGCCAGGAGTAGAACTCTGTAAGGATTTAGTTGAAATTGCTCTTGTTAACGAAGTTTCAGAGTTGAGAGGTAATTGTGCCACATTACAACAGAAATTGGCAGAATCGCAAGCTTCCCTACGTTATCTCTTAAAAACACAGATACAACTAGAAGAGGACATCAATATAAAAACAAATTCTTTAAAAATTGACGAAGTGGACTGCATGAGCCTGAGACAAGGAATGGACTATCATAGTTTTTAGAAGCTATTTAATTAATTGTGATGATATTTACTTGTGTTTGTAATTACATGTTTGTCTAAAATTATATCCAGTGCACATCCAAAAATTTAAAACATTTATCAATGTAAAATTTACAGTATAAAGTTTACATTTATCAATAAAAACTTAATTTAATTTTGTCTAGAGGCAACTAAATATGTCAAAACTAACTACAAGGTTGCTAGAATCTATTTCTGATCATTTTTCCAGAAAATGTGTATTTTTACATGTGTTTGTAATGCTGTGTGCCAATGGTGTAAGCTGCTCAATAAGAATCTGGGATAGCTTGTTGCAAGGAGAGTCCATACAATTGCAAATTGGTATAATGTACACTTAAACACCCTAAGAAGTTTGAGAAAAAAGATCCTTATTATTTTACAAGTTTGGCTTGTTATTTATTTATTTATTTATTTATTTATTTATTTATTTATTTATTTATTTATTTATTTATTTATTTATTTATTTATTAAAACTTACAAACACCACCTAGGTAGTCATTACATGTAAGAGTGCTCGTTACTTGGTATAACAATATACACACAAAAAATACAATATACACACAAGTACCAAATAAAAACACAGAAAGTAAACAGATTAATAAAAGACACAAGTTAATAAAATTTTAAAATTGGGTCCATTACTTATCTATTAACATTTCTTATAACATTTTTTAATATCCCCTACACTACAGTTGAAGAGGTCTATATCACAGATCTTTATTAAGATATTACACTGATATTGCATATAGTTTATTATTGCACAAGAATTATATGGACTACAAGAAAATAGGTCATTACTGTTTACCCTTGGGTTGACCTTTGGCACATGAAACCTAATAAAGTTGATCAAACCAAATGTCTTATATTTAACATTGTTAATAATATTATGAATAAACACAACACAATGCATGTTTCTTCTTTGCTTTAATGACTGCAAGCCAAATATTTCAAGCAACTCTTTTGACAGCGTAAGGTGAGTATACGCATTGTATTTCTTAAGGTATAAATACCTTAGAAATATTTTTGTACCTTTTCTATATGATTAATATGAGCTTTGGCTTCAGGAGTCCATACCAATTATGCATATTCCAAGTTTGGTCTGACTAAAGCGTTATATGGTCTAATGGTTGTGTTTATACTAAAGTGTTTGGAATTTCTTATTACAAATCCCAATATTTTGTAGGCCTTATCAACAATATTTATATAGTGTTCATTAAATTTCATGTTAACCTGTAGGTATATTCGCAGATCTTTACATTTGGTTTTCCTTGATACTACACAATTGTCAATTCTATAATTATTTTGAATGTAGTCTATTTTGTGAGTAAAAGATATGACTCCACACTTCTTAATATCCAATATCATGTTATTGTCCCTAAATCATTCCACAACTGAGGTAAGCTCCTCCTGTAGTAACTGACAATCATTTGGACTATCTATAATCTTAAAAAGCTTAAAATCATCAGCCTAGATCAAACTAGAAGAAAATTTAAGAGATTGTGGTAGTAAGCTGACAAAAATTAAGAAAAACAAAAGCCCTAAGTTGCTCCCTTGGGGGACACCAGATGTAGAATGAAATTTATCTGATAAACACCTACCAATTTTGACTCATTGAAATCTTGATTCCACATACGATTTTATAAATGTACAAGCATCATGCGAAAAACCAAACTCATTCAATCTTGATAAAAGAATGCCATGGTCAACCATATCAAATGCCTTTGAGCATTCAGTCATTATTAAATCTAATTGGAGTTTATTATTTATTACCTCACTAGCAAAATTAAGACAGAATGCACAGATTACTAGTTATGGATAACCCAGGCAAGAAACCATGTTGTTCTGGAGCAAATTCATTTTCAAATTTTTTCAGTATATTCATATAGAGAATAGATTCAAATATTTTAGCCAGGGAATTAGGGATACTTATAGGACAATAGTCTTCTATATTGTTTCTATTACCTGATTTAAAAACTGGAGTAATGGTAGCCTCTTTGAGTTTCTCTGGAAAGATGTTAGTTTTAAGAGATACATTAAATAGATGTGATAATGGTTTTACAAATATATCAGAACATCCTTTAAAGATATAGGCAGGGATATTATCACTACCAGTGGCCTTTTTATTATTTCTTGAAACAAAATATTACTCACTTCCTCTAATTAGAGATTATGATGAATATAGTGGTGATAATAAACAAGTATATACGAAAAAATGACTAAATTGAGCAATCTTTTAGAGTAACTATTTTATGAATGGCTGCAAACAAATTTTTCCATAAAAAAGTATATTATTACAATACTTACATTTTAAATTCTGGATACTGCTTGTACCTCTCAAACTCGTCTTGCCATTCTATTTCAGTTCTTGGCATTTTTTCACCTAATAATTTCCACGTAACCATTGACAGTCCTGATTCTGTGAGTCGTGTAACACCACCTGCAAGATATTTCATCTACATGTAAATGGAGACAAAACAGATGTACAAATATCAAATGGGGCAAATCCAGCAGTTCAAATTGAATAGAGCAGTTGCTGAGCTGGAGGGTTGTGCCTTGACAATATATAAACAAACAACTAAAAAGAATGAGACTAAATAATAACACCTTGTTTTTGTTGACTTAGAAAAAGAACTATGAATAATATAAGTACTACTTACAAAATTAGAGATCTGAAAAATTTCTTGAGCCAAATTTACACTAAATATATTTACATCTATAAAAATATAATTATTAGTGCAATTAGACCAAGAACATCAGAGAAAATAAAAGATAATTTTTTTTTTAAAGATACTTCGCTAATTATAATAAAGTTTACTTAAATTAACACGTTGATGGACAGAGACGCTGTGCAGCGTCTTTTTTTAAAATTGTGTTGTGACAGAACGCTGTGAAGCGTCCTTAACAAAATCTAATATCGTGGCAGAACGCTGTACCGCGTTATATTTATAATATAAATACATGGTAACACGTAATCCACTGTCGTAGAATACCTATCTATACCTTCCAATCTGTTACCCATCTGGTAAATTATCGTAATATATTATGGTAATAATATCGACAAAAAGGACACTGTACAAATTGACTATTTTTGAATAACTTAGGTGTCCGTCAAGGTGTTAAAGAAGGAAAATGAAAAGTAGAAGAAACAAGTAGTAAAATGACCTGACTTGAACTGCTTTTTTAGTGACACAGCCATGATTTTCGTTTGACATTAGCAAGTGTAGCCTACAGTTGAAAGTGCTACATTAAAAAGCAAAGGAACAGACCTAATGTTTTTTAACAGCATGTGATATGTAAAATGCACTCCAGATGAGAGAAATAATTATTCACAAAGCAGGATGGATAAAGCACAAAAGTTGAGGGTATCAAAAACTCAATATCCCAATAGAATATCTCTTTATTAGTATCACAGCTATAATTATATAAATTTCATATTATTACTAATTACTTAACAGTTTTTTTGATAACCTCTTCTAATACAATACATATACTGACTAAAACAACATAATAAACAATAGTACTACCTAACACAACAGCTACAAAGACCATTCCACTGCATGTCAATAGCCAGTAACCCACAGCTCTTTGACCTTTTGAAACACTTGAACTCAATTTAACTGCAATTGTTCCACTTCCTCGTAAGAAACTAGATAACTAAAAGCAAAAATATCGTTTAAAAATAAAGTTTGTGATTGTTGGATGTACTTACAAGCATGTTTCTAGAAAAAGGTTGGGGTTTTAAAAAAGATTTGTTATACAATCTATGTTGGCCATTTCTCGCTAGGCTATTGGTATTAACTTTAAACAACTGTTTTGCTGTAGGAATTAATGATGAAGAACGGCAATATCTAGATAAATTTATCATTTTGGTGTGTTTATTTTTAAAACTTATTTGGTATATCTGACGTCTGTCATGTTAAGGTTAAGGAGTTCAGGTTGTTTTTTACTTCTTACTTCTTGTTACTGGTCTCTTGCTGCTCAGCGTATCAGGCATTAATAGGCCTTGTTTGTAAAAAAAATAGAACTTTTGATCAACAAAATATTCACAATAAACATTAATTAATGAGTAAATAATAATTAAAATACTTTAATTTAAAATCCATTTTATATTAAAAATTTAGTGTCCAGAACTAGTATTACAAAAGAATTAATACTGTGCTTCTAGCAATTTAATAAATTATAAGTTGATCTGGGCCTATTTTCAATTATTAAATAAAATAAATAATTTTCCAAAAGATATTGTGCTGGTCAGGTACACTTGTTGTTAGGTATCCAAGGTTTTATTTGGAAATATGTATAAGATGTACAAGAGGTTAAGTATTAATACTTGTTAATACTTAAGAAGGTTAAAGATAAAAATTGATAAGGACTGTATAAATGATTTTAATATTCTTAAACTTTCTTAAAAATGGAACCTGCGAAAGTTAAGAACAAGATTGGAGATATTTTTAATAATATGGCTTATGGACCTAACTTTGAAGATACAAAACTTGCAATTGTGAGTAATAATTTTTGAAATCTATCAAAATACATTTGAATTTATACTTACCTAATCATCATTTTGATTTTCACGTCAAAGATTGTGACTATTATGGAAGAAAGTGAATATTTTATTATTTTCCTTATAGGCACTGCTTTTGGCTATCTGTTATGTGAAACACCTAGAACTTATTAGGAATTATTAACAACTCTTATAAAAATCGATTTTCAGTTTGTTTTATATTTGTTAACAATGTATGTAAGTCAAAAAAAATCAATGGGATTGAATAAAAATGTAGTTTTATAACAAGTGTACCTATATATAAAAATGTATTCAGTTTTTCTTGAATGAATGAAAGGGAATTTGAACTACTTCGGAATACTCATGCACAGCTAAGGACATACAGAAGCAGAAATTATGGAACAAAATATCTGGATGTTTTAAATAAATAACCTGGTACAATAAATATCTAAGTACACAAGATATCAAGATATGTAATAATGCTGCAATGAGTTTAGTTCTGGATACCAAGAAAATTAATGGAAACCTGTGAAATTAATATTGTCTAGAGATATCACAGGAAAAACACTACAACACTCAACATAACATCAAGATCATAGGCAAAAATATAATATAAAAAACAGACTTAACACAACATTTATTAAATTAGTTATTAATTATTGAAAATTATCTAAATGATGTAATATTAGTTTAGCAGAATATTTTCAGCTTAAAATTTTTGGGTAATTTTGTATAAACTGCCAATTATTAAAAATGCTTAATGTATACAAAGAATATATTAGATCTTGTGTGTTTCTTAGAAATTCTATTGTTCTATTGCATTTTTTTAGGACTGGTTAAAGACTAAACAATCTTCCTTTTTCGCATACATAAAAAAACCAACAGAGGAGCTGAATGGGACACCATTACCTTTATTAAGTGCAATTAAACAAGAACAACTGTGTACAATTAATGTGCCAGACATTGATACTGTTAAAAAAATCTTGGAACAAGAAGAAAAATCATGGAAAGTGGTAAATCCACTGGAGAAAACAAAAATAATCAACAAGTAGGTTTATTCCTTACTCTTGGCCAAATTGGTCATTAAGTAAATTATCTTTTTATTTATGGTTTACGTATAAAATCACATATATTCAAAAACAAAAACATTCCTACACTAAAAATACTTTATAGAAATCAAAATTGTATCATTATAGTGTCTGTGAGTAGTTGTTTTAACTTTACTAAAAGTGTTTCTTTTTAGAATTGGATTAGAGATTGAAAGAAAGGCTGAGCTTTTTGCTCAGTTGGAGATATTAACTAGAGGAATCCTAGCAAAACATACCAAAAGCAAAGCTATAAATCTTTTAGCTCAATACTTTCAATATTATTCAGCATTTGCGTTTTGCTCTGACGAAGAATTTAAAGTTAAAGAGTCTGGTAAGTAAATAACCTATTTTAAAATGAGGATATATTTACTGAAATATCTATAATCAAAAACAGCTTTTAACTTTAAAGACAATCTGGCCTCCATATGCTCCAGTTTTTTGGAATCTCTGACAGTATTGAGATCGTGTTTCTTTACAGATGCTATTTCCTTTTCTAAATCATGAGGGATTGTTTCAATATCTTCTTCTTCATAGTCTTGTGTAGGTGTGTACACTTTTAATACATTCATATCTATTGTTATATATATTTGTAACAGTAGTATCCTGTCTGACAATACTATAAGCTTCTTCACAATGATTACTACACTATTTTGTGCTTTGAACCGTCTTCTGCTGAATGTTATACAGTGTGAATATTTATAGTTACTTTGCCTTTGTTTTTTTTAATCAAAAGTAAAACAAAATCATTTCGTTAACCCTTTCAGTCATGAGTTTTTGTTTGTAAAGATAAAAATTTTAAACTTGGAGGTTGAGATATATGATTTTTTTAAAGATTTATAAACAAAAAATTTTGCCCATAGAACTAGTTTTTTTTGAAAAAAATTAATGTTCGTTACCCCCTCTGTGGCTCAGTGGTAAGAGCGCCTGCCTTTAAACCTAAAGGTCGTGAGTTCGAATCCCACCTGGGTGGAAATTTTCGTTTATTAAAAAAAATTAATAAATGAAAATAATTTCTATCCTTGTGTGATCGGTACACACCGGAGGGACCGCAGACGTTCGGATACAATTAGCGTCTCTTAGCAAAGACAATGACGTCGACTTTGCTAAGTATCAAGACAATTACTCTACACACACACACACACACACACACACACACACACACACACACTACACCTCAAATTGTAAGATTGGCGAATGGATTAAGTGTCCGTAGTCATTTAAACACAAACAAACAACAAAACAATAATGTTCGTTAAAACGACCATGGTGACTCAAGAGTTGTGCATGTACAAAAAAACACCAAAAAATAGTAAAAAACATATTATTTATTTAGAATGAAAATCAACAAAACAATTACGTTCACGGACAATACATAAATGAATTTTGCATTTACTACAACTAATGTGTGTCTTTTTCAGACAGGTTCCATTTTTACACCTTGCACCTTGCTTGCTCTGGTCAAATATGGGCAAATGATCCACGCCGTCAAAACGAACTTCTCTTAATGGCCTTTGCTCCATCTTCAATTTTTTGGTGATTGGTGGTGTACAAGATTCATTATTGCTTGATGGACGTCCTACCTTTTTTTTTATTGGTATACCTGCATGTATAAGGGCTTCTGCAATGTACATTCTAAAACTAATCAAATCCAACAATTTGTTTTTGGGAACATTTATTATTCTGGATTTCTCTTTGTATTCTAACCAGGAATTTACACAGGCTATATCTATCGCATGGGTGAACATTCTAAGTGTCCACTTTTTACTTCTTATGAATGTTCTATAAATACTTATGAGGAAGTCTAGTTTGTCGACTCCGCCCATACATTCATTGTATAATTTTACAACTTCTGGTCGAGCTATGTGAACGTATTCTTTAGCAGATTTGTCCCATCTCTTACATTGGTCAGTTGTACCAACACTTACAAAATTTGATGACATAATCACTGGTTTGTTATCATACCATTTTGTAAGAATAATACCATCCTTACTAAGAACTTCCTCAGAAGTACCTCTAGGCTGCTTTTTTAATATTTGGTCAGATGTAAAAGGAGGATTTTGAAAACGGTTAACTCTAGCTGTACTTGCTGCATATATGTTCTTACTTTTGAGATATTGAAGTAGATTGTAACTCGAAAAATAGTTATCATAATAAAGTTTTACGTAATCTATGTTTATTCTTTCACATAATTTAATTACTGTAGCAGCACCAGCCCCAAATATACTGATATTTTCTTTATTCACTTCAGTAGTTTCTCCTTGATAAATAATAAAATCATAAAGTAATCCGCTTTTTCCACACAAAGCAAACAATTTTACGCCCCAGGGGCACGGTTTACCTTTTATATATTGCTTCACGTTTAACTGCCCTTTGAATGGTATTATCTGTTCGTCTATACACAAATTGGCCTCGAGATCTAATGTATTACATCTCGACTTTATTGCATTATACAACGGTCTTACTTTCCATAAACGATCTTGGTTGTTTCGGTCTTGCTCTAAATTGTTAACAAAATGTAAATTTTGTCTCAATTTGTAAAATCTATTCACATTCATATTTTCTCTGATAATTGGGATGCCTAATTTGGAATCCCAATAGAATCGGGTCCTGGGATAATGTAAGTTACCCATCATGATATGAATGCCGATAAATAATCTAATCTCTAACAGATTTGTAGGAGCAAAGTTGTTAACGTTGTTTTGAACCGCGTATAAATTTGTCATTTCAACCATAGTATTACAGAGGTCATCATTAAAATAGTTGCAAAAATATTTGATTGGGGATAGTATCTCAACTATTTCAGTATCAATAGGTTTGTACCATGGTAATGGTGGTGTTAAATAATGCACATTTTTCATCCACTCTATATTCTCTTTATAAGTGAGACCGTTTGCTTCACAATATTGTTTCATATATGCCTTAGATTTATATTTATTAATTTTTGTTCTATCTTTATCTTCTTTAGGACCTTCAACCAATTCGTCTCGTTTTTCGTCTTCACCTACTTTATTTTGTTCTTCGGTGTCAGATTTCTGTTCTTCAGATCTTTCGTCATTATCTAAAATTTATTTATATTGTCTAAACATGGTATTACTTGATCAATATTGCTTACCTTCTAAATCAGAATGATCAACATCTGAGGTATCCTGTGACTTCTGTAATTCATCATCTTCCTCATCATCGCTCATAACTTCAATATCTGACAAATTATTGATAATATCAAGAAGTTCAGCTTCAGTAAGTGGCTTTCTAGACATGTTTTCGAAATAAGAAATCTGAAAATTAAATAACCTTTGAGTCACCATGTTCGTTTAAAATAACACATGATTTTTTGTATAAAACTATATAAAGTAGCTAATATTTTTTATGTTTTTGTACATACATATAAAAACTAACAATTAAGTACCTATAAAATAATTTTAAAATTATATTTTAACTTACCTAATAAGTTTAAACACAAAGGAAATATCACGAATTGCAGCTAACCTCAAAATGTGTGTTACCATGCGCTACTTATCAACCAAACTGAGCTGTTCGGAACAAGCGTGACACTGTGACTTGTATAACGTGCAGAGACGATGTTCGTTTAGAGGATCATGGTGATTCAACGTAAAAAATAGGAATTAGCTATCGTTGGCGCTTATGAAAAGTTGATGTTCGTTTAAACGAACATGGTGACTGAAAGGGTTAATGTTCAAGACTTAAATCCATATCTTTTAATAATTATTAATTACTATAAAATGATACTGATTGAATTTTTAAATATTGTCATATCATACACATTTGACATCTCACAGATTGTGTATGTGAGTTTTAATTAAAGACATTTTCTTTTTAGGTATTGCAGTTGGAGTCATATCCAATGAAAATTATTTAGCTCATTTAGGTCTATTCATCGCCCCTGCTTTGGCTGCTGGGCATAATATTGTTTTACAAATTGGATCGCAATTAGCACCTGCTGCTTTTTTGCTTCAAGAGATTGCATTATCAGTTGGGTACTGTATTTATTTATAATTATAGTAAAATCAGGGCCTGTGGCAATATTCGGATAAAAACTATTCAAGAAATCTGATGTATGGTGTAATTGGTTCTACTTTGTTTTAATTTTAGACTACCAGAGGGTACCTTGAGAATCATCCCGTCTGACGATGGAGAACTTGTACCATATTTCACTATGGATAGTGTAAAAATTATTTCATTATTTGTCGATTTAAATAATGATAAATATCGCGGATTTCATAATCATAATAAACATTTAATTGTCTGTAAGTACCAAATATATAAATAGTTTTGTTTACAGAGTAATGACACATTAGTCAATTTAATGGTTAGATGTAGAGACACAGTTAATATATTCTTAAAAAACAATTATAATTCACAGAAAGGAAAAAAGTTTATTTTTTTATGTTTATATATTATTTACAACAGAATTCAAGCTTTTTTCTATTCTATTCTATTCTATTCATGTAGAATTTGCAATGCTTGATGAACTTAATCAACAGAATAATTAACAGGGGAGGTTTGAGACAAAAATTGTTGTCAAACATTGGATATACATCATCATCATTGGCTCCACAACCCATGGTGGGTCTTGGAGTACTGAATGAAAAACGTGGTTCGGACTATATTTCCATCATAGACATATTATAATACAAGTTAGACTGATCGTTGCAGTACCAACCAATTCTCCCAGTAAGACAGAGAAGACTGATGCAAATCAAATTCTCCTTTAATATAATCTACAAATTTCCATTACAAATTTACTACATTACCATATTAATAACCCCATTCCAATAATACCCTCACATATTTTCCTCCAAATTTACCCTAATTTCTCCATTTCCTCAGTGTATGTTCTGACAACTCTTTTGTCAATATCCACAGACTAATACAACCTCATTCCTCATTCTCCTAAGTCACACATTCCAACGAGAACGACTTAACACAACCAACCCTAACACATTAATCTCTCTTACCCACTATAATCCAATCTTTACTCATATCTATACAAAAATCAAAACTGTCTAACATCACAACTCTTAAAACCACACCTCCGTCAGTCAACCTACCTTAACACTCAAACAGACTCACTCCCAACATGCACACACCACCACCCCAATTATACCAGAACAATCAACTATACTGTTATGACCATTTATCTTATTATTAAAATAAATATCTCAACCATCATCTTTTCTAAGAACATACCCTCAAACTACGCTCACCCTCAGCAATTCTCTGAATCTCAGTCCCTCCTATCCCTAAAACCTCAATAGATCTTACACATCTAAGGTCCCTTGACCACTCCCACTCCCCAGTTCCCCCCCTCCTTTCCTACTTCACCTACTTGTCACCCACGTCTATGTCCACCCTATCTACCAGAGTCATTCCCAATTATGTGTTCAATTTCTCACTCCACAACTTGTTTTCACTGTATCTCTTATAGGTGTAAACCTATTCAAAAAATAATCAAATTTCACATGTTTGACACACCCACACTAAGATCCGAGTACCATTTGACAATCATGACACCGATTGTATCCAATATCCCCCTATAACCTGAAATATTCCCTTCTTAATAGACTAGAGTATTTAAGATATGACCAAGTACTGTGTCATAACAAGCGCACTACTATACATCCACCTGATTAGATCAAATAAATCACAGATGTGACCAAACAGACATCTAGATCCGTTCATCCAACCGCCCCCCCCCCCCTTCTCTACTAATGACATCGTAAGACTCAACAATAACCAGTATATATCTACAAGATCAACCGTAAATTTGAGAGAATTCCACACTACTTCCCCACAAAAAATACACCTCAACTCTGACCACATCATGTCATGCCACCCTCCTTGAATCACTTAGCCATATCGTGCCCCTAGATTCACCCAACTCCCCCCGTCAAACACATCACCTACCATCTTGCCTTACCCCTCAAATCATAACTACTCCATATCTACCACTCTCCAGATCACATACGTATACCCCACATTCCTAGTCTGAATATTGTCTATGTAGACCAAGAATCAGAGAAGTGAATATGGACTAGCCTCTTGTGTACACTGTAACAAAAGAAATCCAGCCCCAATTATACTCACTTATACCACCACGCACTCCGCCGCCACCTCCACGGCCAACAACGCATTCCACTACCCATACCCATTCTCTTAAGTAAAACACCCCCCCCCCTCAATACTAAACCACTAGTAACCTATCCACCCCTACTAACAAGCTATCATCCTTAATGTATCCCCAAATAGAGATCACCCCATATATAGAGAGAGAAGACCACCATATATCCGATTCACTACACACATCACCCTCGCGACTGACGTGATCCTAATATTTATTCTGACAATGTACACTAAATACTCTATGACTATATGTATCTAACCATCCTGCTCTATGAACTCACACGCAGTCCGTGTACATTCCATGCATAAGAAACTCGCATGACTCGTTCTGTTTCAACGCCCCATTACGAACCTCCGCTTGACTCGTTCGTACGAGATGACAAGAACCTCTACTTTGATCCACGTAACTGCCCATCTAGTCAGCTGTCGCCTGCCGGGTTACGTTAGCCCTACCCCTCCCTGACCTGAACTTCTAAGAAAGCCCATTCGCCCCAGCGCCCGTGTCAATTGGTGCAGATCTGACATCAGTGCTGCCTCGGAGTTATGCAGTGAAATCGTGCTCCTTGCTGATCGATCCACTGTCATCATCTAAACTCTAAGTGCTCAGGTAGCGCTGCCGCTCGCTGTTTGTGTTACGTGAATATGTACGGCTCGCACTATTATCTCCCTAACCCCCCCACTAGGCTTCGAAAGCACAAAAAGCCTCATAATGTGCCTCCGCTTCAACTACAGAATCAGTCTTCGTCTCAGCGCGCACTCCTCATAGCCTGCTCTGAATTCGCGAGAATATAGATGCAGATGAGAGTGTACACACTGTCGATATCCTCCCGGGTGTGCGACGAGTGACCAAATAGAATATTGCCCATGCAAGTTGTGCTCAGACGGATACTCTGTGTCGTTGCTATTGCTGGAATGTTCTGTTCGGGATGACCTAGATGATATGTGGCCGCTAGTTATGTGCATAAACGCGCCGTGATATTAATAATCAACCCGATGTGCTATTGAAGATCCAGCGTTCATTAGTGAGCTAGTGTAGTGCGAATTGATGTCAAGCGTGTTAGTCTGAATTCTCAGACCTGATTGATATCCCAATGTAATGAACAGAGTAGTAGATGATGAGAGAGTCAATATCTGCGCAGAACCGCCAAAAGACATACAGACTTTAGGGGGCTATTATGTGTGTGAGTCCGTATGAGTGTCATGAGGTTCTTTGTGAGAGATAGAGAGCCGGCGCTTCGATCGCTGATCATGTTCGTGTATGGTGCGAAACTGTACCAGAGATCGCTATCGCCCCGCGACGCGAATCACTCGATCATGTATTAAGCCGCCCCGGTGGCGCTTGCCTCGGCCCCGTCCAGCAGTTCCAATGGAGTTGTTCAGCAGAGCTTGCCATAACCACAGGTATCATCTGCATATCTTATGTTATTAATAGATCTTCCGTTAATTATTTTTCCTTCACTTTGAGATAGTAATGCTTCTTCAAAAATGGCTTCACTATGTACATTAAATAGTAATGGGGACATAATACATTCCTGCCTAACTCCTCTCCTGATTTCAATTTCTGGACTGGGTTTGTTATCTATTACGATTTGTGCTCTTTGATTCCAGTAGAGGTTTGTTATTATTCGTAAGTCTCTATGGTCTATGTTTTTTGTCTTTAGAATTTGGACTAATTTTTCATGTCTTACTTTGTCAAATGATTTTTCAAAATCAACGTAACAAACATGCACATCAACATTCATATCCATGTATCTTTGAGCTAACACATTAAAAGCAGAAATAACGCTTCTCTGAAACTGACTATCATCTATTCCTTCTTCCTGGCTTTTAACTTAGGCTACAACATGAAAAAAAAAACCTTCTCTTAAAATAAAAAGAAGCAAAATTAATATTCATACTACTAATCCTTGTTTACTTAAATCAATTTTGTTAATGTTTTGAAATTTGGTTGATAATTATTATTAATTTTGTGATTCAATGTTTCTAGTTGCCATGGTCAACAGATACTATCTTAGTACAAGAAAATATTTTTCCGACGTTTCTAACCAAACTTAAATCAAAACTTACAACATTAGAAGTATCAACTGCAGATAACAAGTCAGCACGTATATCTATCAATTTAAATAATACTTCTCAGTTGAATGACTTGAATAATACTACGAAACAAGCAAAACTTCAAGGAATTGAAGTTTTTCAAGCCACAGATAAGTCGGACGTCTGGAATCCTTGTGTCTTGGTAGGAGGCCAAATTAACCATAATGCTCTAGGTTCTAAAGATGGCCAGTCCAATGTCATCACTGTCGTAGCATTTAGGTCTATTGATGAGGCCGTTAGTTTAGCAAATAATTCCAAACAAGGATTGTGGGCGTCAGTTTGGTCTGATAATGCGAACCTCATTAATGAACTAACAAGAAAACTAAAGGTAACTATTTTTAAATCTATGTTGTTATAACGATATTTGTTGTATGTAGTAGTTTAACACACACGAGGGTTAAAGGAGCAGTTTCAAATGTCTCAATAAAGTGTCTTATCCCATTTACAAAAAATATTTCCAATGAAGTGCATCTTTTTAAACTGTTTTAACTTGAGTAGTGGCTTGGTGTGTGTGAACTGTTTTTACATTTTTTGTTTGTTTCTTTTTTATCTAAAATTTTTACATTTTGCCCATTATTTTATATAAAACATCAAGTTAACCCAATATTTCATTATTTTTATAGATTAGCAATATATCTGTAAATGGTAGCTATGAACTTTCACCAGAAGTTGTTATATCTCCTACTAAGGACAGCGGAATGGGATATTTTGGAGGAAAAGAAGGTAAATATTTTTATAAAAATAATTATTTTTGACTATAATTTATATTATAAACTAAGTCGAGCTTCCGACTCCCTTCTTGGAGTCTTCATCAGATGTTTACTGTTATACATTTTACTATATTTTTTATCCTATTATAACGAAGTGTGTAACAGTGAATCGATCAGTGGCGGCTCGTGGCTTTAGAGACGGAGTCGGCAAGGTATTTTTGTCTTCTCAGATAGGTATACCGTCTAATAAATGTACTTCAATCATTTTCTTCTTCTCGTAGCACTACAACCCGAGGTGGGTCTTGGGTGACTGCACAACTTGCTTCCATCTTGAACGGTCGTCCATAATAGGTTGGTCAGTGGGTAGCTTCAATGTTCATAGATCTGACCATATATGGTCTCTCCATCGCATTCTTGGACGTTCTAAGGGCCTTTTTCCTGTGGTGGCTTCCTCCCATATTGACTTGGCAAGGCGGTTATTAGGGAGTCTATGTACATGGCCAGCCCATCTTAAACGTTGGGATTTAATCTCTTGGACGATGTCGCTCGCTCTATACATCTGCTTGACCTCAGCATTTGTAGGAACCGCAACCAGGAAATGCTCCTACGTCTCACATTTCTCTTTCCCGAGATTTTTCCTTGGATTAGGAGTCTAAGCAGAGAGTACTTTTCTTCTCTCATTATGTGGCCCAGATATTCCAGCTTTTTCGTTTGTATGGTTTTTATGACTTCGCATTCCTTCCCCATCTTCAGCAGAAAATCTTGATTTGTTACTCTTTCTGTCCATGGTATTTTCCACATTCTCCTGTAACACCACATCTCGAATGCCTCAATGTTTTTGATATTTATCTTTTTCAGTGTCCAGGCTTCCATGCCGTACAGCACAACGGAGAAAACATAGCACCTTAACATTCTCGTTCTTAAGTTTATATTTATGTATCGGCTGCATAGGAACTTTTTGATGTTTCTGTTAAGCCCTAAATAATTCCTTTAAATTATCGTAATCAGATTCACACCACAAATTTTGATATTTGCCCCTATTTTGCGAAAATAAGATGAAAGGTCAACAGAAAAGTTTGTTTTTTATACCTCTCCCGGTAGCCCATGAATACTTGCTGTACTAATTATTCGAAAATAATCTATTTTCCTTACCCCCCGCACTTATAATAAGCCAGGACATTTTAGGCAAAGGACGCCCCTTATTTTTGATATCAATTTGTTTTTCGTATGACATAGAATATATTCTATTTTGCAAAATATAATTTACAATATCAGATTTGTCAGTACTTAAAATTGCTCCCAAATCTTGCTTTTTTAGCTTGATTTACTAATTGATTTTATAAAAGAAAAAACTCTTCAATTATATCAAAAAACCTTAACTCTTTGTGGCAGCGATAACTTACCACAGTATTACTTTGAAAAATAAGAACGAATCGATCTTACTCTCTCACTACTTAAGTACTTATCCGGAAATAGCATTACATCCCGCGCTCGCACGGCACTTGGTAACTTTGTGACCAATCCAAATGAAGCATCAGCAATTTCCGATTTGCCGTACCTACCATTTAAATGCGTATATATGTTTTGTTGAGTTTGAGTAAAGACTCTCATAAATCAGGGATCGGAATTACTTTTACCCATTACTGTGTCAGAAGTAAGAGCTGCTTTAAAGGAAATGAAGAACCATCGATCGCCTGGTGATGACGGACTCGTTATCGAGGCAATAAAAGCAGGTGGAGAAATTTTATTAAAATCAGTAAGCGAACTGTTTACTAAATGCTTACATGCGGGTACGATTCCAAAAGACTGGAACAATGCAGTAATAGTCTTGTTACACAAAAAAGGCGATATTACTAAATTAGAAAATTATAGACCCATCAGCCTCTTGACACATATGTACAAACTCTTTATGAAAATCTTAACAAAGAGGCTAACACCTAAACTTGATTTCTATCAGCCCAAAGAACAGGCAGGCTTCAGGGCAGGATATGGCACAAATGACCATTTGCATACCATAAAGATATTAATAAAAAAGTGCATCGAGTACAACATACCACTGGTTCTTGCATTTGTCGATTACGAGAAGGCTTTTGATTCTGTAGAGTTTGAAACAATACTGGAAGCCCTAAATCAAAGCCGAATAGATTACAGGTACACGACACTAATCAAAAACATCTATCAGAACGCTACATCAAGTATACGACTGCACGAAGACACAGAAAAATTCAGCTTAGGTCGAGGAGTTAGACAAGGAGACAATATTTCACCAAAATTGTTCACGGCAGCTCTAGAGTCAATATTTAAGGGTACTCAATGGCAAGATATGGGCATCAATATAGATGGAGAAAGATTAAATCACCTAAGGTTTGCAGATGATGTTGTATTAATCGCAGATAACTTACAAGATACGGTTTCTATGATGCATTCGCTTAAAAGTCTGTCTGAAAGTGCAGGATTAAAGATAAACTTTGAGAAAACTAAAATTTTAACAAATCTCGTAATGAGTGGAAATATAACTATTGACAATAATACCATACAACAAACAGACACTTACAAATATCTGGGACACGAAATCAAAATAAGCAGAGACAATCAAACACATGAAATACAGAGGCGAATAGGTCTAACATGGGCAGCATTTGGCAAATTAAGCCATATTCTAAAAAGTTCAATTCCCATGTGTCTCAAGCGAAAGGTTTATAACCAATGTGTATTACCTGTACAAACTTATGGAGCAGAGACATTAACACTCACGCAAAAATCTGCGAATAAACTTAGAGTTACACAACGAGCCATGGAACGTGATGCTGAACGTGAGCCTTCGAGACCACATAACAAACCAACAAATTATGCGAAGATCAGGAGTTCAAGACGTCATCGAAAGAACCACGACGCTTAAGTGGAACTGGGCAGGGCACTTAGCCAGAACACAAGATGGACGGTGGACAAGACGTATTATGGAATGGAGGCCCAGAAATTATAAAAGAAGTAGAGGACGACCACCGACTAGATGGACCGATGACATTAAACGTGTAGCGGGAAACTGGCTACAAGCGGCCCAGTGTAGAGAACACTGGAAAGAACTGAGGGAGGCCTATGTCCAGCAGTGGACGCGATTGGCTGATTGATGATGATATGTTTTGTTGCTTATCGACTAACATTCCGTTAATTTTTACATGTATATCGCCAAGCTTGGGATTGACTTGCCGAAACGGGTCAATAAGAATTCGCACCCTCGGATAGATGACTAGGATCTCGGATAATTAATTTGTTTATGCGCAGGGATCACTTAACGCTCGGATTGGTAGAATACTTTTAAATGACTTACTTACCCATGAGTAAGATTTAGTCTGGATAATCTCACAGATATATTTTTTTTTCACAGAAACAAATATTCAAATCAACTTATTACCATATTATTGAAATACTGATTAAATTAACTATTAAAAAAAACTGAACAAGTTTAAAATTAATTTTTCTAATATTAAATATAATTATAATTTCCCAATATAAATCCCGTAATACACCAATTTATACAATTTTTACTTGCAGGTTTCATGGAATATTCATCAGGACCAATTGTGTCAAAATGTACCAACTTAGGACGTAGCGACTCAGTTGCTAATGTTGATTCAATTGTTAACGCTGCGAAAAAAGCACAAGAAAGTTGGCAAAAGATACCTAGTATTCAGAAACAAAAAATACTACAAGATTTCGCTGAAAACTTATCTCCGCTAAAAAGTAGCGAATGGTAAGAGAATTTACTTGTTTACCGTTTATTTGGAGGTAAAAGGGCAATATCTTTTAATAGTAAAGGACCGCAGTAGTGATGACGTAGATTTGATTGATATCTGTCAGTTTCACTTTCTAAACAAACGTAGTTTAGTATGGATAATTTGTATTTTTCATTATTTTTTAATTTTTATATAGAATCTTTCCGCTTTTTGCAATATCTAAGTATTCTAATAGTTACTACAATAATTTTCCAAGGTGGTGTAAATAATAAAGCATGTTGTTTTATAAAAATAGCAATAAAATGCATGCATCAATAAAGTAAGGTTAGAATGTCCTTAATGTATACTTTTAAACTATATTTCATAGAAATAAAACACTGAATTGTGATGGTATTATCTTAAAAAACACTATACCTAGAAGAAAAAGTAGCAGAAGAAGCAAAATGTTAACTTTATAGAAATTAAAAAGTCTTGAGATTTGACATTTCAACTTTTGTTTGGAAAGTAATGACAACAATATGACAGATGTGACGTCACACTCCGGCTGTCCATTGAACTATTGTACCTGTACAGTGACATAATTATTTAAAAAATAATCAAAAAATTTGATCATATAGCAAATAATGCGTTATTTTTGAAAACTCCGGTGGCAATCCTAGATTTTGTTGAATCACTACAAAATGACGAACATTCAATATTAAATGTCGACTGTGTTTCTATTTGCACTTCGGAAATCGATCTCAAATATTCAAATTAAACAAATTATTTTATTGTCGTACTTGGAAATGGAAAAAGGGGGCGCTCATGACCCCCCCCTGATGAAAACATCACTCGTGGGGCCATGAGCACCAACATAGGTACTCAGAACCAAAATGGTGTGAAATACTTAAAAAGATATTAATTAACCCTCAAAAGATTCTTACAAAAGCCTAAATTCAAATAATAAATAAAAATCATCGTGGCCTCATGGATCAACATGCTCTAGAAAAATATTGTTCTGAAGCTATTTTCTTGTGGCATTGTAAATTAATTACTATTTATAACTGGGAATAAGCCACAATTAAAGATAAAAATACGTTTATTGACGTTTCAATTTCCAATTCGGAAATCGTTCTCAAAATACAAACAGTAAATTAAACAAATTTTGTTTTTTGTTACATAGTGAAAAAATTCTTCTAATGATTTAATTTTATCTGACTCATTTATATTGACAATTCAGACATATATTATGCATTTTAAAGTAGACGACTTTAAAATGATATTGCCAATATTGTTGAGTTGCGCTCCTGGGACGACTTTACTTATAAGATAGTTCATTCGATTACATGAAATCAACTTCAACTTGAGAATATCCGTCAGAAAAAATCATAGCATGTAATTCGTCTTTAAAAAGACAAACACATGACATGATGGCAGTAAAATTCTCCTGTTAGTGATTCCATAGTAAATTATGAGGGAAAAACCAGGAAAAAAAACCTCATAATACTATCCCGACATTGAAAGTATTTGTTTGTGAATTTAGTTTACCTTCAACAAACATCAAAATTCTGATTTTATATGTTACGTTACTTAAAAAAACATAAATAATGTATCCTCTATATGTTACTGACTTACTAATACTGGTATTTTCTTATTAATAACTTCCTCTTTCAATATTGGTAACCAGATCCTACTACATTCTGCCGAGGAATTTGCGACACAATTGGCCTCATTTAGCATAATTAGAGCCGCTTTTTTGATTTTTCTTTTTTTACCATCCGTTTCTTTTAGGACTATATTTGAATTATTCCATTGAACCCTATGTTCATTATCCCATGCGTGTTTACACATTTGAGATCTATCAAATTCTCTATTTTTAATATAAGATTGATGTTCACTTATTCTAACATTTAATGGCCTTGATGATTCACCTAAATAAAACTGATCGCATTCACAAGGTATTTTATAAATGCAATTCTTTGTCCTTTCTAAGAACGATACTGGATATGAGACTCAGGTGTATAGAAAACCAACACACACCAATAGATATTTAAATTTCAAATCAAATCACAATATTAATATAAAAAAGGGAATAATTAAATCCTTATACGATAGAGCCAAAATTACTTGTTCTAACGAAAATTCGTTCTTGGAGGAGAAACATTTGTTAACATCTGTTTTATTAAAAAATGATTATCCTTTATCGTTTATAAATAAGGAATTTTCAACAATCGATCAAATAGAACAGAACAACTTAAAACGAGATCCTACAGCATACACAAGGAATAATATGAGGAAAATAACAATACCGTACATAAAAGGATTATCAGAAAAACTTAAAAGGATAGGAAATAAATTCAACATTTCAACAACATTCAAAACAACAAACACGTTGAGATCTATTTTGTCCAAAATTAAACCTCACAATGAACAAGAAAGGACAAAGAATTGCATTTATAAAATACCTTGTGAATGCGATCAGTTTTATTTAGGTGAAACATCAAGACCATTAAATGTTAGAATAAGTGAACATCAATCTTATATTAAAAATAGAGAATTTGATAGATCTGAAATATGTAAACACGCATGGGATAATGAACATAGGGTTCAATGGAATAATTCAAATGTAGTCCTAAAAGAAACGGATGGTAAAAAAAGAAAAATCAAAGAAGCGGCTCTAATTATGCTAAATGAGGCCAATTGTGTCGCAAATTCCTCGGCAGAATGTAGTAGGATCTGGTTACCAATATTGAAAGAGGAAGTTATTAATAAGAAAATACCAGTATTAGTAAGTCAGTAACATATAGAGGATACATTATTTATGTTTTTTTTTTTTTTAAATAACGTAACATATAAAATCAGAATTTTGATGTTTGTTGAAGGTAAACTAAATTCACGAACAAATACTTTCAATGTCGGGATAGTATTATGAGGTTTTTTTTCCTGGTTTTTCCCTCATAATTTACTATGGAATCACTACAGGAGAATTTTTCTGTCATCATGTCATGTGTTTGTCTTTTTAAAGACGAATTACATGCTATGATTTTTTCTGACGGATATTCTCAAGTTAAAGTTGATTTCATGTAATCGAATGTAAATGAATCAGATAAAATTAAATTATTAGAAGAATTTTTTCACTATGTAACAAAAAACAAAATTTGTTTAATTTACTGTTTGTATTTTGAGAACGATTTCCGAATTGGAAATTGAAACGTCAATAAACGTATTTTTATCTTTAATTGTGGCTTATTCCCAGTTATAAATAGTAATTAATGCTCTAGAAAAGCTGTAGCATAAATGGCAAGTTAACTGAGTACCATATATGGTACTCGTAGCAGTCAACCTGTTAATATTGTTGATGGCTGTTGATGTTGTTTATTTTGGACACATACCACTTGTGAATATACTCTTTTTTATTTTTAGGGTAAATGATTTGCTGAAATCCATTTATAAAACAATCCATAATTCATCTGTAAGCAATGCCACATCTATTCTCGGTGGGTATAACTTAGCTTCAATTAGAGAACCACGAGGACTTATTGTTATCGACGTTTGTCAATGTAAAAATGCCGAACTAATTATTACTTCCATATATGAAGGAAATTCCTTGATCGTTTTATCTGATGATAGCAGTAATTCAGAATTAAAACTACTTAGCAGTAAACTGCCAAATGGAGTACTGAACGTACTACCACACGGTACAAATACATTGGAGAAATTGTCAAAAAATGAAAAAATAAGTTGTTATTTTGGAGACGATTGCCAGAAAATATTTGCTTCCTTGCCACTGAGGGATTCAAAAAAATATATAAACACTCCAATGCAGATGAAAGACTTTTATAGCAAAACAGGGATTATAAAGAATATTTTGACTGATATTGGAAAGTCGAGTACATGTAGTTTTTAATATATTTTAATTTGTAAAAAGGAAATATATCGTTGATTGGGAAGAATAGTATGATATTTCAAAAACATTAAATTTTCAGAAATGGCGATTAAAGATTGAGATGGGTTTCGAGATCGAATAACTTAAGCAATACATTACTAAATATCCTTTTGATCATAATAATTAAGGCTTACAGTAGTAACTGACAATATAAGTTTTTCATCCGATCCATATACCAGCCCAACCCATATTTTTTCATCCCCATTTTGAGTTATAATAGTTTTCTATATAAATATCTTGTGTTGTTTTACAATTATTAGTTTATTAGGGACAATAAAATGGAACAGTTTAAAAGTTTTATTTGAGTATAAACAACAAACGAATGATAAAATAGCAGCTGTAGTACAATATCAGTATAAAAACATAAAAAGCTTAGCCTTCCATTAAAAAAATTAAAGTTTCTACAAGTTAGCGTAAAAATCCCTATAGTATTGTGGCATTACCGCTACATTTTTTTTCTTTGCAAAGAGAGAGAGCAAGCCAGCTTTCTTTTTTTCATTTATTCCTACCTTTTTCCTATAAGCTTGTTTAAGAGTAACATCACGTGGTGATGGAACTCGTCGTTTGCTTTGAAGAACGTTTAAGGAATTAAATTCCTCTTGTTTGTATGACATTTTATACATCAAATGACTAGGATTTTCTTTCGTAACTTTTAATATGCATATTCCTGAGAGAGGGACTGAATCACCTTCTTCCGTTTTAAAAGAATCCTTCATCCCCATATCACTTGAGAGTTGTTTCAGATCAAAAAAATTCTCATAACACATTTCATGTACGGTGAATGGATTTCCATTCTTCTTTGCTTGTCTAACCAATGTTACATATTGATCTGGTACGTAAATTGGAGAAAATTTTTTAAATTTAGTAATTGAACGTTCTATAATAGAATGGACATGGTCTCCCTCGTTCTGAGTGTGACCACTAATTAAAAATTTATGGGTGATGGACCTAATATTTTCTAGAACAGAAACAGCATGTATGTATAAAGCAAATACGAAGCGGTTCTTATTTTGACCGAAACAGTTGTCAGTATAAAATACAACATCTACCATTTCAGTATTTTTTGCGTTCACAGACTGCAAATAAGCCCAAACGCACGAACCCACTTCATTTGCGCCTCTGTGAGCTAGAATTTTATCTGGAGAATGTTTATCTATGTCCTTCTCTTTTCTTGACAGTTCTTTGTCTTCAATATGGTTGTTGTACTGTTCCTGAAGTTCTTGTTTTTCTAACTCGGAGGCATTAATAAAACCCTGGCAAAAATCACACTTATCTTTTTTTGGAATAAAAAAAGATAAATTAAACTCTCCCTTGAATATATTGGAGTACATCAAATAATTTACGCTCGGCTTCTCGAGTTCTTTGCAATGCTGCTCATAATCTCTGTGGAGGTCGGCAATAGTTTTTCCTCCTTCAATGTATTCTTTCTTTGATTGAGATCGGCAGTAGTGGCTCTCCATTCGAGGAATAGATCGGATATGATTACGCACTTCTTCTTTTAACTCCTCAGGAACACTGCTATGTTTTTGGTGTCTGCCTCGATTATCTGCCTGTATAATTCCATTTACGTCATTATTTTGTTTGCGTAAAACGGTTTCAATTACTTGAGAGTTAATGCAAAGGGTTGCCATGAAGAAGGACTTGCAAACACGAATTTTTTCTCCTGCGTATGTGAAAAAAAATGCGTTATTAAGACCACGTATTTTTTTAACCGAACTTGTATACCGGTATCTTGGTTTTATGGTTGTAGTACAAGATGCAATATACATTCTTTGTTTTTGAAGGTCAGCCATACTCCAGTAATCGTCGAAAATTTTCTGTCTTTGTTCATCTGCTAACTTAAGTGAACATTTATAACGACATTTATCAGCATTGCAAGGGGGTCGCATTATTCTAGCCTTACGATTGACTAATACTCGATCTTTGGTTCCATCTTCATTTTTCGTGATTTTTATTGAAGCATAACTTTGGCCACTATTCCTCATCATTTTAGCAACATTTTTTTGCCACTGAGATATCTTTCTCTTTCGCTTTTTTACATTTTCTGGTGGGGGACATGGGTTTTTAACAGAGCGTCTTTTGTTGCTTAAATTTTGGTTCCAAATTAAAGGAGGCCCCTCATCAGAAGAATCATCAGAGGATGACGAAGAACTATTTGAAGAATAATTTGGGTCGCCTGAGGTGTTATCAAAGACTGAACTACTAGAGGAACTGGTTGATATGGAAGACGAAGAGCTGCTACTGTCCTTTTCACGCTCACTACTGATTGTAACGTCATTATTTATAAACGTTGGTCCTCTTTCATCTTCAGCACCTGTTGTTTCATAGATAGTTGGACTTTTTTGGTTTTCTTTGTTTTCAAAATCAACAGCCATATGAAAATATTGTTCGTATTGTTTTTCAGCTAAAGGAGAAGCAATTTTAGGATTTTCATTTGTATCAGTAGTAAACTTGTTGACAGAATCACTGACTATGGGAAAATTATTGGTTTCACTTTTATTAGTCACAAATAATTGTTGAGTATACAAACCGCTACTTTCATGTCTGGCATTATCTTCATCTGTTTCGCAAATCTTACTAGCGAGGTCTACTAGAATACGACTTCTATTCCCACTCATTTTCTAGAACAAAATATTATCCATTAGGTCCATAAAAAATTGTGCAGTCAACACACATAATATTTATTAATTCTTTTCTACACACGGATTGAAATTTGAACCACCAAATTTTTGTTACATGTCGCACAGTCGTTTACAAAATGAATCGCTTACTAATCTATTTTTATCAAGTTACACCTACGCAAGAGGTTTGTATTAAATACTTATTCCCTCTGACCCTATTAAAAAATGTTATCTTTAACTGGTAAAATTCCCACGGTTTAGATATCGGCCAAACGCGAATGGTTGTTGGATGAATCAGTTGTTTCTTGAAAAGTATCATTTCCAACGTACTAATGAATAAATCAATAATAAAATCTCTTGCAGTAGAGTTTTCAAAGAAATGAAAATCTCAGTTTAATTAAGTATCTAGTAAGAAAAAATATTTTAAGGAATAGAATGATAAAACGAAATAATTTCTTGGATTTGAGTTAAATTATGCTGAAGACAATGTTAACTAAAAATAACAAGCTATACTTAGGGCAAAATTCTATTCAAAACTATATTAACTCAAAATGAAATAAAGATAAAAAGCTCACTGGTGTACTTATTTTATTCAAGAGTATGATATTATTTGTAATCATCATATTGACCAAGATTATAATAAAAATAAATGCTTACCTGTTAAAGAAGAGTATGATATTTTGAAATATAATTCTCTTGATCCAAAAATATTCACTAATAAGACGCAAGCAGTTTGAATATTTTGACTTGTAATAGTATTGATTAAATAAAAATATCTTAAGTCTAGCGCGAACTGTAGACAACTAAGTTGCCCGAGTCTTCTCCATAACGGTTGTGTGGAAGTGGGAGATGCCATAGTTGGTCACAGAGCCCTCTAGAGCTTGTCGTTTAAATTGCAGTTGTAATACTTTTCTTCCTAATAGATCCATTCATTCTGAGTAGTTTGATGACATAAATTAAAAATGAACCAATTTTGACTTATCATACTATTCTTCCCAATCAACGATATACTTTTATAATCTTGTGTTTCATAATTTATTTTTATTACTTTTATAAACATATTTCTAATCTCCAATTAACTTAGTTAAACTAATGAGTAAATATTTCTCAGTTTATCGCCAAACTACCACACACCTACCACTGTGCCGACATGAGCGGCATCGCTGCGCGCCGTTAGTGAGAGCGCCCACCAAAGTGGCGTGGCAGTGGCAAGTAGCACGCGTCTAGCATAATGTAACCAATCCTAACGAATGATTAGAATGAATGACGTTACTGTCATTTTGGTGTAAACTGAATCATTCGTTTTCATTGGTTACATTATGCTAGACGCGTGCTACTTGCTACTTGCCACTGTCACGCCACTTTGGTGGGCGCTCGCCCTAAGACTAACACTGCATTCTAACTGTGGTTTCTACTAAAGTAGGATCGTTTTAGCCTGTCGCATAAGTAATAAAAGTGTCTATTCAGATTTGCCTCAGGTAGTTAGCGGTTCTCAAATTAAAAATGTACGGTTTTCTTAATTTGATAATACTACATTAGGGATTTTTTTAATAAAATAACTTTGTATTATGTTTTATAATAATTGAATATCATAATGTAAATTGATAAACGTTGAGTATGAAATATACAAGGTCATTCACGCAACATGTTGGTTAAAAGTTTTCAAAGTTCTGGTCGTCACTGGTTTCTGCAAACTTGGAATAATGGGTTATGCAATGCATTCTTCATTTTTTAAATATTTGCATTCTTCTAGCACTTCCGGTAGAAACTGTGCTTTTTGTTATTTTTTTAGAATCTACGTTAAATTCTGGATCGATTTTTATTGGGATACCATTCTCGAAAAAATAGCCATTTAAAGTTTTTGAAAAATTTTACATATTTCACATGCAACTTCAAAAATTAATATTGTGGTTAATATTTATGCTGAAAAAAACAAAAATTCTTTTTCAGAGTGTACTAAACTCTATTTTTATTTAAGCATAAAAAATTTGCCAATGTTAATACTGGGTGTTCAAAATTTTGTATTATATTTTTATATATTTTATAAATATATCTATAAAAATATATATCTATATAAAATAAAGACTTATTCCTACTTCCCACAAACACCTTCCCAAACCCACCGAGGTAGGTTGTCCTCCTGCGGTACAACCAGCCCTGGCTTTCCTCCGCCCCCTGGTCTTTGGAGCCAGGTCTCGACTATTTCGCGGTATCCCCCGTCAGGCAATGGGAGATTTCCGTTTATTTACATTTAAGTGGTAGGTTAGCCCATTTGGCTTTATCACTACCGGTCAAAGCAATTGTTCGGCGATCTAATGATGATTGTGTATGCCGATACTTGCTTTTCCGTTTCTGCACCAAGTGCAGTCGAGAGCAAGCAAGAATCGAATCCTTTCATCCGTCGTCTAATATCCAGTTATGTTCTTAATCTATCTTACTTGCTAATCTAATTTTTTTGGTGCTTGCATTCAAGAGCGGCGTGCCTCCGGCTCTCTCCTGCATGCGGTTTTTGTTTTATTTATTTATTTTTTTTGTGGTTAGTACCCTTTTGTGTTAATTTTTCTATATACGTCTTAATCGATGGACAGGTATCATCACTATCTGACTCGCTATCCGATTCATCTGTACGAATAATTAGAGGTATTACTTCATCAATAACTTGTTCTATTTCATATGACTCTAAATTTTTTTTTTTTTTTTTCGGTATGCTCAATACATTTCCGCCATTGTTCCTCATTGACTTGGTTTAGTGCATCTTGCCAGAGTTGTAAAACGCTGGCTTCGTCGGTGGTCTTACATGCATGTTTATCATAGTAGTTTTTAGTGATATCCCACACCAATTCAATTGGATTGTACTGGCAGTGATATGGTAGTAGTCTTAGGACCTCATATTTTAGTGCCATTTGGTCAACGACAATTTTTTTCTCAGTAATGTGTTCTTTGCAGATATTTAATAATTCAGCTTTTAAAAATAGATGTTCGTGTTCTATATTTTTCTCCGACAGCCACTTTCTTAAGTCTTCTTTTTTCCAACTGCTTATGGGAAACTTTTCCTTCTCTGATATGATACGAAGCATTATCTAAGACTATTAATGACGGATTTTCCAGATTTTTTAATAATTTTTCCTCAAACCAATGTTCAAAAATATCGGCGTCCATATTTCCGTGGTAATCATCAGTTTTTTTTGTCGAAGAAAATATAAGACTAGCATTGCGTGTAAAACCTTCCGTATTTCCTGCATGCAATATAATATATCTTTTGCCATTACTCGCACTAGTACTCGAATAGCATTTGGTAGAATCATCTTGCCAGGATGATTTGGTATTATTTCCTTTCGCAACAATTCATATTTCGACAAGAAACACAAATTGTCTGGCAAATTCGGAATTCTTGTTTTTTAAATAGTTTCTTATAAATTTTTACCTTTTTCCAACAACATTGGACAGCTCACACAACACTTTAAGGTTATTGGTTTTTTTTGTATCTAAAACCCATAGCTTTTAATACTTTTGATAAACTGGTCAAACCACAAAGTTCACAAAGTTCTTTGCCCTATATTGTTTGAATAAGTGTCTTTCTTGTAACATGTTCTTTTGCTTTGTACATGTCATAAATGATATTTCTGATTGAGATTTTAATACCTTGTGGCAAGTCGAGTATTTTCGGATGCAAACGAATCCTTTTATTTTCCTTACTTAATTCCTCCTCACTCATTTTGCGAACTCTTTGCAAGGTTCGTTCTGAAATTCCACAAGCTGTACTTGTCCTTTTTTGAACTGCCAGTATTGATGTAATTGGTCACATGTTGATTTTTTCTAAAGTAAAATAATTTTCACTTGGAGATAAAAACTTATATTTAGGTGTTTTATCGTTTTCTTGTACGTTATTCATTGTCACTATTGAAAACCGGCGATCGTTGAATACTAACGAGATTTTTCGAAGCTCTCTGAATATATTCTGAATATATTATAGAATTTGCGTTTTTTCACGATTTATAAAAAGAATTATTAGTGCTGATTTATCCTCAAGTACTACAGCCGCCCAGTAGGAGGTTAGGTACCACAAAGCAGGCAGAAAAGGGAAAGCATAACAGAGTGGCTGTAACTAGAGTCATAAATTATTTTTCGGGCGTTAATCCTAAATACGACAGGGTAAAACGACTTCACTTTATAGTAACTGAACATCTAAGCAGTCAAGCTGTCGCATCAAAAGATTTAGGTGCCGTAAAATGAAAACATTGATTAAAATTAAAATTTAATTTATTTATATTAAAAAGTATTAAAAGTAAACTTCTTAAAATATTTATAACAATTCCAAGGAAATATAAAAATATGATCTTATTATCTTTATCATAAAACACATAAAAATATTGTAGAAACATAAAAAAACATAAAACATATTGGAGATTACAATAAAATCAGTCAGTATGCCCAGCTTCTAACTTTAGTCTTTAAAATAAATCGGTTTTCCTAGAAGAATTCTTCGTCCGCCACGTCTTTCAGTCTTTTTTGGAGATAGGGTATTTACAGCAAATGTAACTCTCTTTGGCTAAAATAAAACAAAATAAATAAATACTAGAAGCCTTAATAAATACCCACAATAAAATAAAAACAAAAACTAGATCATACTATAGTGTATTTTTATGTATGAGAGAGTAATAAAACAATAAATTATGTATGTAAATCCCTAAACTCTTGATACGGGTGACTCAATGAAAAACAGATATTTGTCAACAAGTTTACAGAAGTATATAGGAAAACAATTTTAAATTGAGTATGACCAGCAGGTATAAAGGTTGGAGTAGAATAGAATACAATAGTTGTGAGGGTTACTAATCCCTAAATAAGGTTGCCAGTGTCGGAGAGATGGAGGTTAACAGGTACTAATGAATTTGCAAGAAATGTAAGATGTTTATTTTATTGGTTATATATAACCAATAAAAGTTTAATAAGTACCTACCTATTTGCAAAATAAAGTTTAATTCTTTAGATAAAATAAAACGTTTTATTTTATCTGAAATGAGTGCACTCCACGAAGTAAGGGTTTCAACAATCAAACATTTAATTCTTTAATTCCAGGAATCTACGACAGTAATGGACTAGATAATTACCTTCTAAACTTATTCCACAGAAAATGTGATAGTGGGTTTTTCCATTTTGTAGGAAGGTCCAAGTGGCGTATTCAAAATTCTTAACAGTTCACTAAAAGTAGGTACTTCAGTTGCAAGGTGCAGTTTATTATGTATACTAGTGTTATGGAAAATTTGGAAGTGCCGTGTAAACGCCGAAAAATTGGTCCTTTAACAGTTAATGAAAAAACATTAATATTTAATTGTTTTAAATCATTTACAGACAAACGTTTATGTGAAAGTGTTGATGAGACCGTTGAGTTAGTTAGCAGTACACTTGATGTTGGGAAATCTACGATTTACAGAGTTATTAAAGAAGAGAAATGTGGTAGTTTTCAAATGCCACGTAATGCTCCAGGGAAACCCAAATTTCAAATAGAATATCATTTTAAAGAAGGACTTCGACGGAAAGTGCATGAATTCTTCTTTAGACAAGAATTTCCAACATTGGATAAAGTTCTTGTCTCAGTTCGAGATGATAAGGATTACCCAGAAATGAGTCGAAGTACGTTATGGAAACTTTTAAAAGAAATAGGCTTCCGCTGGAAAAAGAATTCCAGAAAGTCTATTTTATTAGAAAGAAGCGGTATTGTCATATGGAGAAGACTTTTTCTAAGAACCATAAAGGAAATGAGAAATCAAAAAAGAAAAATATTTTATCTTGATGAAACATGGATCAACGAGGGTCATACACCAAATAAATTTTGGCAGGATGAAACTGTTACAAGTCAAAGGCACGCTTTTGTAAATAACTTATCTACTGGTTTAAACCCACCATCAGGAAAGGGACGCAGGCTGATAATAGTACACATTGGCAGTTTAGACGGTTTTGTTGAAGTTGGTTTATTAACTTTTGAATCAACTCATACCGGTGACTACCATGAAGACATGAACGCTGATGTCTTTCAAGAATTATTCGAACAAATGATAGATCTTCTTCCTAAGAACTGTGTAATAGTAATGGATAATGCAAGTTATCACTCCAGACTTATAGAAGGACTGCCCACAACCAAGTGGTTAAAAAAAGACTTGCAGAATTGGCTGAGTTCAAAAAATATTACGTACCATCCGGATCTATAAGAAAGGAACTTTATTCGTTGTGTGCCCTTCATAAAGAAAAATTTAAAAAATACGAAATTGATGAAATTGCCAAAAATCGTAGAATGACAGTACTTAGATCCCCACCATATCATTGTGAGTTAAACCCGATTGAACTGGTATGGGCACAGATAAAGAGTGAAGTTTCAAGAAAAAATACCACTTTTAAAATTCATGATGTTAAACAGTTGTTTTTGGAGGCCGTAAATAATGTAAAACCTGAAAACTGGGAAAAGGCAGTAAATCACACTATTAAAGAAGAGGAAAAAATGTGGAAGCTGGACAATATTACTGATAAAATGATCGAGCCAGTTATTATAAATTTTGGTTCTGAAAGTTCATCTTCTGAATCTGATTTGGATTTGTAACAAGTAGCTGTAAGTTTTATATTAATATTTTTATTCATCTATTTAACATACCTTAGACGGTTTTAAAAACTCTTTTTCTCTTTTGTAATTTTTAAAAATTAAAAAAAATGTGAATTTTTTAAAACCCTTTTTAATGTAGGCCAGTCAGTTCTAATATAGTGTGTGATAAAAGAGGTCACTTTTGTTTACATACACATAACACTTTATAACACTGAAATAATTCATTTATTTTTTACAATTATTCAAAGTAATTTTTCAATTAATCTTGAGCACGCCCATGGAGTGGTCGGAGGTACCAGTTAAAATTATGCTAATTACTCTCTCGTTCATAAAAATAAACTATAAAATGATTTGCCAATAAACAATAGACCTTTTGATCCCAATTTTTGTGCGCATGCGTCAGTATCAGCTAATTTTTCGTACACTTTTTTGTATGTTATTACATTTATTAGTAATTTGTACTTTTAAAACGAAAAGTAAACTTAATTTAAAGTAAAATTGTGGCTTATTCCCAATAAAAATAGTAAATTGCATTAAGATACCACAAGAAAACAGCATCAGAAGAATATGTTGATTGTTTTTAATGATCCCTTATTATGGGACAACTCCACATCACATGATGATATCTGTAACCACAGCCTTAAAATGAAAATTATAAGAACGGAAATCTTGGATAAGAAACCTGAAACCTATTCCTCACTTGACCGTTAATCAAAATAAATTGACAAGAATTTTAAGAACATAACTAAACTTTGCATATTAATTAAACAAATGTTATTACAAAGATGTAGAGATATTGACTGTAATGTTTATGTCTACTCCATTGATTTTCAAAACGCATTTGACAAAGTTCAACACATCAAAATTATGGAAGTCAATCAGCTTCTGGTAAAGTTAACAATGGGAAAACAGAGGAAGTGAAAATTCTGCTAATTATTGGATAAGGATGTATATTGTCACCTATAAGTAAGGATGTATATCTACATGTATTCGAAATCAATTTTTCTCTAAGTATATGTAGAAATAGAATCCCTTTACTACTACTTTTAAAAAAGTTTTTCACAAAACGGGAAATACTTACGTTATTCATAGTCACATCGTTGTCAGGCTTATTCTCTTTATTGTTGTGTTCCTTATCTATTAATATTGTATCTCTTCTATTTGCAACACTGTGGTCAACACATTCGTTACTAAGTGCAGATGTTTCGAAATCGCCACTTTCCTAAAAATTAAAAGAATTTTCTAAATACAAGTAGAAACACACATTTTGATATACAGTGTGGAAACCACTTATGGAATAAAATTATTTGTTTCCTTATAGAAAATAATAAAAAAACTCTGAGACACGTTAACTTTTAAATTTAAATGTGCGCTTTTTAAACATAAATTTAAATGTATAGGGTGATCCACGCAAGTCTGGCATAGTCCATAATCCTTATTTTTAATGAAACACCCTGTATATTTTTATGTTTTTAAAGATTCTTAACAACCTGATTTCAACGAAATATATGTGTTATTGTATTATTTTAAATTAGTTAAATACAGACAATACACTTCTACTCTAAGTATCAGTATATTGGGGAAAATTTCTGTTTAGTAACCATGTTAACATTTTTTGTCTTGAATAAGTAAAAACTGTCTAGATATTCTAGGTAAATAATGCGGATTGTTATCAATCAATTGTTGGTGTGTTGACATTTTACATTAAAATAATAAATTCCTAATTAAAAGCTAATTTATTGTAGAAAGAAAAATTAAATATTTAACTGAGACCCACCGAATTGAAATTTTAATGATGATCGGTTACGGGGAGAATTGTAGAAGTCAAATTGAAGTAGCAAACTTATTTAATCAGAGGTATCCTCAGTTGCCTAATATTTTACAAGATACTATGTCTAAAATTTATGCACAATTCAGAGAACTTGGACATTATAAAATCATTAAAAAGAAAACCGAACTTTATTGAAGATAAGGTGAAAGTGGATATTTTGTTAAGTGTCGCAGAGAATCCAACGTTAAGTTCACGTCAAATTGCACGTCAAAATAATGTGAGTCACACAACTGTCCTAAGGTGTCTCCATGAAGAAAAACTTTATGCATATAAATTGATTTTGTGCAGCAGCTAACAGAAGACGATCCAGATCGTAGAATGGATTTCTGCGAAAGAATTATGGATAAAATTAACACAAATGAAATAGCTCTTGGCACAATTCTTTTTTCTGATGAATCAACATTTACATTGAACAGAAAGGTAAACCGACAAAACCGTAGATCTTGGTCAGCGGAGAATCCTCATTGGATGCATGAGACACACACTGAGTATCCTCAAAAGCTGAATGTTTGAGCAGGTATTATAGGAGATCATATTATTGGTCCTATATTTGTAGATGGTAATTTGACAGCGGACAAATTTTAAGCAAGTTAAGAGACGATGTTCTTCCTCAGTTTTCTAACTTATACCCCAATCCAATAGATCCGGCCCTATCGCATGAAACTGTCTGATTCCAGCAGGACAGTGCAACACCCCATTATGCTTTAATGGTGAGAAATTCCTTGAATGAAATCTTCTTCAATAAATGGATTGGACAAAGGGGTATTATTGAATGGCCAGCTGGGTCGCCAGATCTTACGCCCTTTGGACTTTTTCCTGTGGGGTTATCTCAAGAACAAAGTATATGCAACACATCCAACTAGCATTGAAGACCTCAAAGAGAGGATAACTAGAGAAATACGGAATATTTCAACTTCTTCAAACTTTAAACAGAGTTCGGGACGGGAAAAGAGTTTTATAGGAGACTGTGTTATTGCCAACAACAAGGTGGAGAACATTTTGAGCATTTATTTTCATTTAATCCAATCAATTACCTCAGCTATTCTATGAATTAATTGTATTGAAGAAAATTATATTTAATTTCAAAATTTCACCTTGTATTATTCATTATAGACCCTACTTGATATAGTTCGTTGAAATCAGATTGTTAATAATGTTTTAAAATCTTAAAAATATACAGGGTGTTTCATTAAAAATAAGAATTTGGACTATGCCAGACTTGCGTGAATCACCCTGTACATTCAAATTTATGTTTTAAACAAAAATTTTAAATTTCCACTTCAACAACATGTATCCTTCTTAATATCAACATTTTATTAAAGCAATTTGGCTTAAATGGTAATATTTTTAAGTGTAGAATTTACAGTTTCTTTTTGTACACTTACTTAAGGACCACCCTGTATATAGCAACTAACGTTGGTGTTTTTATACTTTGAGTTGTAGTGTTTTTTATAGGCTAAAATAAAAAATTGAAGGTACAGAACAAAATGAGAATCTTTATTGCTATCATTTATCGTAAGATATTGATTTTCTAAGAATAAGAAGGATTCCGTGTCACTACTTTTGTATTTTTGTGTTAAGTTTTAAAAGCTGTCATGTATCAAGTCACTATGTACTTTTTAAGACATAAAATGAATAACGTGACCAATGATATTCGAAAAATGATAATTATTTGGCAACAATACAATCATCAAATCTTCATATTGCATAACGTATTGCACACATTTTCACATTTTTGGTCACACTATATATTTTTATATGCTAAATAAAAATCTGTGAAAGCAGGAAGATCAAATAGATTTGTTTAATCATAAATGTGGAATTCTGCAACACAAGATTACAAAATTGTAGAGATAAGAAAATAATACATAAAATACCTTTTGTTCATCCGAGAGATCTAAAGATGTGCCATGTATTTCAGGCGACCGTTCTGTTAATGTAAGTCTTTTAACACTATCTTCTAATTTGTTTTCACAAACAATTTCTTTTTTACTTTCAGCACTACTACGGCTTCCTTCCTTCCTAGCTAAAGTTATAAAACTCAATTTTTCTCGTTTTTCTACTGGCTTTGTATTACCACCTTCCGTTTCTTTTGATAATTCTTTCTTGAGTAGCTCGAGTTCATGTTGTTTGGACATAGCTTCCAATCTCCATTTTCGCTTTTCTTCGTTCGATTCTCTTAATTCTGATGAAAGCATAAATCTCTGTAAGGATTTCGAATTCATTTCCTCTTTTAAAGCTTGTAGTTCTTTGCTGTAAATATAAACACAAAATAAATACGATTTAAAGTAGCTCAAGATAGAGAAGAGACGCGAGTTCTGAGTGCGCAGTGGCAAAATTACAAAAAGTGGGGATAGCTTGCGGTTACTTTTATGCAATGTTATTACTTTGTAATATAAATATGGAAAATATACAAAAACGAAATATATAACCTTGTAAGTACAAAAACCGAAGCAGAACATAGACAATTGTAAATAGATTTAACGAAAGTGTAGTAATGTGTTGATACAATGAAAAATACAAAACATTACCGTCAATTGGGCTGACTTAATATTTTTTTGAAATACAATTGCTAACAGTTTTGGAATGGAAAGACCTACGAAGTTTATATACCACTCAAAAGTTTAGTATTGATCTCTAGTTTGTGTAGTCAAGTGCCATATTGTTATAAATTTTAGTTTAATTTTCCTTTAAAAAGTTACTACGTAGATTGGGGTAATTTGGTACACGTATTTAACTTTATATATACAGTGGTCCAAAAAAAGTCTGGAAACGGCTAATTATCTCGTAAATTGCTAGTCATAATGGTACAAAATTTAAGGTGCACCTATTTTGGGAAACGGAAATTCCATATTTGATATTTGCAATGTTGCCAGATTTGCCGTTTTTCTTATTATTTGCCATATATAAACCATACCTGATTCAAATTGGCCCAAATCAAATTTCGTAACTATCTGACGTTATATATTTCCTTCGATAAAAAATGGCCCAATTAACTGAAAACCTACTATACCTGACCGTACATTTAATTTTTGTGATCTTTGAGTATGGTTTTCACGCATCCAGTATGGATTTACGTCACTCCAGTACCTTAAATTTTGTCGATTTATACTTACACACAGTGTAAAGGTTGCTTCATCAGAAAAACATATTCTAACGAAATTTTCATTATTTTCAATTTTATCCATCATTACCTCAGTAAACTCTAATCTACGATCGAAGTCATCTTCACTTAATTCTTGCAATAAGTTGATTTTGAATGGTTTTATATTTATTCTTACGTAATACACGCAAGACTGAAGAACGACCTACATTTCTCAAATAACTTTACAGTTTTTTTTACTGTCGCCTTATGAATAGAAGAACGGTTTGGGAAAGTATCATTGAACAAGTTGGCTAATTCACAATAAGATCTTTTTCTGTCACCGTGTCCTCTCATTAATTTCTTATTCGTTAAGAACCATTTTAGAGAAGCAATTTATCTTGCAGAATTTTTCGAAACACAACTACTGTCAGTTTTAATTAATAATGTAAATGGTGAACAAATGTCAAAATCACAGCATTTTACATTTAAATAATATATTAAAATCTACATATTTTGCACTGTTTTATGTATGTATTTAAGACTTTACAGACTGCATAAAATCATAAGTTTTACATATGTTTGAACTCGCATTGAGTAGGAGATTCCAATAATGACTAAATATACAGGGTGATGTATTTGAAAAACCAAAGTTACTAATATTATAAGAAAAACGGTAAATCTGGCAACATTGCAAATATCAAATATGAAATCTCTGTATACTAAAATAGGTGTACCTCAAATTTTGTAAAATTATGAATAGTAATTTAAGAGATAATTGGTCATTTCCAGACTTTTGGGTCACTCTGTATATAAAAATCTCGTGTCACGATTGTCCAAGCTAATATTAAAAAACCACTGAACCGATTTTAATAAAATTTTGTAAAAGTCTATTTGTTAGTCCAACTTAGGAGAGAGGATATTTTTTATCTCAATGAATTACAATAAATTGTAAATTCAAAATGTTTTATACGACTTCACTTCTACGGTTTTAGTTCATTTCATCCATTTGTTAAACTTCATTTTAAGATATTTTATAACTACATATAAAACATCATAAAATGACATTTAACAAACGTAATTTTAAGTTTTTATAACTTTTTTTATAATGAATCGGGAACGACTGAATCGATTTGGCTTATTTTGGTTTTGAAATAATTATTTGAAGTCCTTGGAAGGTCTATTACATGAGAAAATAATAATATATTAATAATAATTTATTCCCGTCTTTTCTAATAACCCTTTGGATTTGACATTTTTAAAATAATAAATTTATTCCTTTTATTTAAAGTGACACAACTCCAAAATTCTCACTGATACAGTTTGAAAATATCTAAAATTGTCTACTATAGTGGCACAAATCAAAAGTGCCGGAATTGCATAGAAACTTGACATCGACAGGGTTCGACTTCCACTGCACAACTAAAAAGGGCCAGTACTGCAAGAAACAGCTTAGAAACCGACAATATGTCATAGCGACACTAGTGACGTCCAGCGGACATTTTTGCTATTATTATTATTGTGCCAGTTTTGCAGGTCATAAATATGGCTTTTTCAAGTCCTCCGGTGAGGTTAACTCAATTTGGTCAATTTTTTAGTTAAGCCACTATTGCATACAGTCGACGATATATTATAGTAGTATTTTAGTATATACAAACTTAAAATATAATATTGTAAAACTTAAAGTACTTTGTAAACTTTGTAGGATATCAAAATAAACGCTTACTTTTTCTCGTTCAATGTTAAGCTATAATATTCCAATTCTTCAAAACTGTTACTTGATATAACTATAGGTTTCTCCGACAACTCCTTTTTGTACTTTTCTATGATCTTTTCCAGCGTATCAACTCTAGATCTACAATAAAAAAAAACTAATTATCAATCTCTTAATAAATAAGGATAAAAATAAAATTGTCTTAACAAAACAGAATAAAAAAATTAGGTTTTTGTTGCCGTAAGAAAAATATCGAAGTGAATTCAATTTCTGGTACTCCAAACGGAGTAAAGAAATATAATATAAAGACGGTATTAGAAATATCTACTCCACCATATTTAATCAATAAATTGCAACTGTTAGACATTGGAGTGTTTAGCCATTCAAAACTTATTACAAAGCTGCAATAGATACTCAGATGATGCAGCATCCTAGACAAACAGCAAATATTTACAATGTTGCTGATTTTGTAAAGATTGCTCACGAGAGAGGAATGACTCCATCAAACATCACTGCTGCTTTTAAGAAAACAGAGATTTATCCATATGACAGACATGTTTTCATTGATGCCGATTATTTATGTAATTCCGTTACCGATCGACAAATGGCGGACTTGTCAGGGGAAAGGGGATCCATCATCAGGTAATGCTCCTGCTGAAAAAATCAACAACTCAACAATGGAAATCGATGCATTGGAACTTCAAATTGGCACGCACTGAAACATTTGCAATATCTCCGGTTTTAAAAAACGTATAACTTTTATTTAAAGTGGGATAACTCGGAGGAATAGCAACAACTGTATAATTTTCATTTACCTAAAAAATCGGAAAATGCCGGAAAATTCAAAATTCCTGTTTTTTTTTAATTTGTGTGCAAATTTTTTGCTGATGAGAAATCTAACCCCAAATAATCCTTCAATGTCTCCATTATTAAATAATACATAGTCTCGCATATCTGTATAGAACTTTCCTTTTTGCTTAGTCTTTGTCCAAGTTATCTTTATCTATTCAGTTTTTTTATTATTTCTGGACAAAAAATGGGGTTTTAAAAATATGTGTTTGGTGCGATTCACTCCTTAAGCACCTTACACTATCTGCATTATTTAGGGAGCATTGAAGATTTATTAAATATAAAGTGATGCTCGGCTTGTTTCTATTGTTGTTGTACCTACACATATATAAGCATAGTTTTCTGGGTCATAAAAACGATACAAGTGAAATATTTGCCAAATATTAATCTTGATTATACATAATAAATTGGAAAAATAAAATTAAACCTTACTTTAGAGCCACAATTATTCCATGTTGGTCATCATCTTTTTCTTCCACATCCGATTTCCACTTTTCCAAAAGGCGCATATTTTCTAATTGTAACTGATGTGCTGTATGTTTGAGTTGTGCGTTTTCTTGTGTCTTTGCTACATAACTTGCCTTCATTTTATCGATTTTGTCTTGAAGGTATACTCTCCTAAAAACAATCAAACTGTTAAAAAATATATCTCGAATGTCATTACTTAAAACGAGAAAAAAAGGTGAACATAAGGAAATATAAAAGGACAGTTACGTTTCGATTCGGTGCGATAACACACCGACTACTCTGGCAATTATAGGAAAATAATTAGCAGGCTCCAGCATTTTTACAGTGTTGTAAAACCTTCAAAGGATGATCCAGTTTTATTAATTGTCGACAATCCCCCGCCCCGCAAAAAATTTGTCATGTGTCAACTAAAGTATATTTTGCTGACATAATTCCACTACCAGGTTGCTCAAAAGATGACTCAATTGGAAATAAAAAATCCAACCACAAAAGAAACAGGAAGTAACATTCCGAAATAATGAAATCAACACCAATGAAGTTACTTCTTGAAGAAAAACAGCGGAAGAAGGAAGAACAAATGAGAAATAAAGCCAGCAAAGGAACCAAACGAAAAATAGGCATCGAAGAGTCCAGTTCTCCGTGAATAGTTCCAAAAAGAAATTGTATAAGAACACAGAAGATATATCATCTGAAGATGAGGATGATGATGATGACTATGATAGGGATGTTAACGAAGATATTTGCACAATTTGTGGCGAATTCGGTAAAACAGAGAACTCTAGATCCAATGCAGCGTTTGCGGCCAATGGGCACACAAAGACTGTACCAGTTTCGAAGGCAAAAATTTACATTTGCGATTTTTGGATTTAATTAATTTTTAAAGTGGCAGTGGCCACTTTTAGCCTCGGCGGCGGGTAAATATGGCCACCAGCAGAAGTCTGAAAAACTGTTTTAATTTTATTTTGTTCTGTTTAAAAATTTTTCGTAAATAGAGTTTGAAGTACTAAGGTTTGAAGTTTTATTTACATTAACAGTATAATTATTAAAGCTATGTAGCAGTGCAAATAAACCAAAATGATTAGGCGGCGACTATTCCCCTTTTTCCCTACTTACCTGTCATCAACTTCAGCAAATAGAGAATTTCCTTTGCTACCTTGGTTAAGAGGTTGATTTTTTATGGTATCTATTTCAGTTTTCAATCCACATACTTCATCATTTAAAAATTGATTTGTTATATTAGCCTCTTTTAAATCATTTTTCGCACAAGCATAACACTCTTTTAAATCTTCAATTTCTGCTTCGTATGCCTATTAACAACAATATAAATAAAAAATTGTAATTACACACATAATAAAGTATCGAAAGCTCAATATTTATTATCATTTGTATTATTATCTATTTGTATGTGTTAAAAATATTTAAGAATATTATTTAACAATGATACTTACCTCTACTTTTTTTTGTAATATTTCATTCGCTTCTTGTAATTGGGTTAAAGTCTTTTTTAACTCTTGGTTTTCATAAACCTCTGGTGGCTCATAAAGGATCTCTTTAATTAGCAAACTGGTATCACCAACGAAATTAGTTGTATTACTATCAGATTCTTTAAAAACCTCTAATTCTAATTGCATGCGCTCATTTTTTTCTTCCATTTTCGTGATAACATTTTCAAAGGCTAATTTCTCTTCATTGTGGCTAGCTCGCATGCTATGAATATTCTGAACATAAAAACAAAATGATAATATATTTAATATCATACTTAGGTAATCATACATACTTGATATTATAGCAATTAACGAGTTATAGGAGAGTTGCAACTCTCAATATAGGAAGCGTGATAGGTAAATGAAGAGACACTTCTACTCACCTGTTCCAGTTGCTTTATTATTTCTTGGTATTTTTGCTTTTGTTTAATTTCTTCTGATTGCAATAGATCAATTTCATTTTGACATTCAATCTGAACTGCTTGTAAAAGTCTAACATTTTTCTTACATTCATGTAATTGTTGGTTTAGGTTTTCTAAATCTTGCTTAAGTGTAACATTTTCAGTTTTTATTTTTTCGAATTCATCAGAATCATACTCCATTTTTCTAAGAAGATTGTACTACCTACCATAAAAACATATACATTAAAGAAGATTTTGTGTAAACATCATAAATTGCAGTGCTAAGGATAATTTTGAAAATACATAGTCCTTAAAAATGGGGAGTTTGTAAAAAGTTCCAAATCTATTCGCAGTTTACTTTTTTTATTATTATTTTTGAGTTTTACTATTTTGTTCCTGAATTTAATAGTTGTGTTAAGATAGTAAAATTTTATTATTATATAATTGCATATTGATATTATGTTATTGAAGAAAGAAATTGTTATATCAAAAAGATGGAGAACATCTCTTCTTGACGTATGTAATAAAAGAGGAGCAGACAACACAAGTGACCATCATATCTTAATCAATACCATTAAAATCAAGATGGCAAAAAACAAAATCACATGAAATACAAACAGACCAACATACATTCTAGAAAAATTAAAAAGACTCCAGGATGACATATGTTTAGGGAGGAACTCCAACTAAAAACAAAAGAACTTAAAGTAAATAGCTGATGAAGGGAAGCTGGGAAGATTTGGCCGATGTTTTGACAGAAATAGCTGAAGATAAACTGAAGGTAAAAAAGGTAACATAGAAAAGAATGGATGTCAGATGAAACTTAAAATGTTATCGAGGAAAGAAAATAACAACAGAAAGATATTTTGCAAGCAAGAAGTGTAAAAGAAAGAGCGTACCAACAAGAATATAAAACAATAAATAAACCAGTTAAAACAAATGCAAGAAGAGACAATATAAGGTGGGCTGAAGAACTGACAAAACTAGCTGAAACAGCTGCTGAACACAACAGAACTAGAGTGCTATACCTAATTACTAGACTACTAACAACAAATGGGCACAACTGCTCAAACATTGTGCCCATTTTTTGGGCTACTATACTGAAATATTACTGTGATTGGCAAATAGATTTAATACATGAAAATCAAGCAAAATCTTTATTTTTTGTTACCAGAATACTGATACTCTTTAAAAAAATAAAACATATAAGTACCTACTTACTTTGATCTCAAGAAAAAACAACAATTACTTTCAACAAATACAGATACCAAATTAATATAATTACCCAAAATAGATACAAATATTTAAAAGTAAGTTGAAAAAATCAATCAGTAAAAACGTGCATACTTACTTATTAGTCAGTAAAAAAAGTAAATTAAACTGCACCTACCTTGGATTACTTTAAAATTCGATTTCAGCTCGTTTATTCTGAAAACCTCTGAGTACAGTACACTTAAGATAACATGTGAAAATGCCTTAATAATTTATAGGTCTTAACTTTCTTAAATACCATAACACAATTTAAAAATTTAAATTAAAGAGATCGTTAGTAATAAACTGTCAATGTGTTGAATGACAACTGACATGTCACTTTCTTCTTTCCCAGTGGTCTCTGTTCCTCTTACGTATTCAGACAATTCTTTGTTAATGTATTTGCACCAATTTTTCAAATATTAAGTTCTAAACCGATTTCGCTGTTAATATAGCGTCAAGGCATTCGTGAATTTTTGGCAGAATTGCATTTGACGAAGTTTAAAAAGAGAAATAACTTCTTTCATCGTTCAATTGCATTTTTCACAGATTGAATTGGTGAAGAGTTACCAGTTAATGAAAGGTTTAAAATATAATTGAAGGATGGTAACATAAAAATGCATTTTTAAGTTTCTAATACAAATTTAGAGAATTAATACATTAGAGATAAAGTACCAAACCTAGAAATAAAAAGAACAGGAGTCACGGATGCAGTTGAAAAAGAAAAAATAGGCATGGCTAAATGGGCCAGATATGTTGCCAGATTGATGGACCAAAAAGATTCTGAAATGGTGACCAAGACATCTCGCAACACAGGGACGATCACCGACTTATTTATAGATGGTCGGATGATACAAAGCGAATTACGATAGAAATAGATGGAGAATTTTAGGAGAAGCTTTGTTCAGCAGTGGACAAATATACTGCCGTGCTTAGGGAAAACAGTTTTGCATGCCATATGGTAATATGGTATGTCGGTATTACTGGACGGGGAAAAGAAGAAATAATTAGTTCATATAATGCTTTCTTTTTACATTACAGATATGTCGAACATTTTGTCCTTTGGGTTGATAACTGCTCAGGTCAAAATAAAAATTGGAGTTTTTTATATTTCTTTGTATACATTGTAAATTCTGACGCTATATCTGCTCAAGATATTTGTATTTAGTATTTTGAACCAGGACACACTTTCATGTCCGCCGATGAGCTTCCACCATCAGGTGAAACTATCTTTATAAAAACAAATTGTAACGATGAGTCCAAGCCATCACCGTTAAACCAGCGTGCTCGCGAACCAACCCATGTAGTAGGAGTGTATCGACAGTAGAAAGGGCAAAACTAATTACCAAGCTCCGCTATATAAACCGCAACATTTCCTCATAGAGCGGAATCGACAGGTGTTGACTGAAGGTTCTCTTCTTCCCTACCCCGGCTTGTGGACGTGTTGAGTTCACAAGTTGTTCCGTTCCATACCGCCGTCACCCGAAGAGCGTGTTGAGCTCTTCATTACCCGTACTCCGAAGCAGTCGTGTTGAGACTGTCGAGGAGTGTCCTATTAACCCGAATCACTTAAGGGACGTCACAAAATGAAAACCTATCATTTTAACGATTTTGTGACAGCTGTTGGAAATGGAAATTCAAAAAAAAAAGATACAATAAAAACAATACAGTATACAGGTTTTTTTAAGCGGCAAGACTTTGTGTCTCAAGCAAAAATTTAAAAAAATAGAGCCTCGTCCTTACTTGGGAAAAAAGGAAAAAGCATTTTCGCTAAAGTACAAGTTAACAAATAACTCTGATAGTATGTTTAGAATAATTTTTTTTTCAAAATAAAGTTTTAAATAAAAAACTTCCCAGCCCTCAGGCATTTACATATCCATGTGGAGTATCAAAAAATAAAAAAGAAGCCCTTATTAAAAATCTCATAACGACAATGCCTTCAAATAGATTACAATTTTGGCAAAAGCTTGAGGAATAAAGGATTAATAAAATAATTTCTTTCTATATTTAATTTTTTCTTTTTTGTATTAAATTTTGTTTGTTAGGGTTTATCTGGTCTACCAAATGTGGCTTTTTTTTATTAAATATGTAGTTTTAATAAATTATTCAAAAACTTATTTTGTTGTTTAATTATATTTTCTTTAACATTATGCTAAGAAAACACCGCAAAACATAACATCCATAGATGCTGTAGTTTTACTTAGCAATTCCAAATATTACTTACGATTTTTTCTCAGTATCTGCCATTAGTAAGCATAAAATTAGGATAAACTACTGCTCCTTTTTTTAAACACAGTTTATTTACAGATGTATTGATATAATGTAAAATCGTTTCTAACCACATTGTTGTAAGAATTTTTACCCTTTTTAGAAGTTGTAGATTCTTTGAAGTCCATTTACTTATTATTATAAGTACTGCAGGTGATGTGGTTTTCCTTAGAAAGGCAGTATAGGCTATTTGATAAATATGACTAGAGCTAGGTTTAAAAAGGGGCGATCACCCCTCCTTGGATCCCCCTGCAAGTAATGCTGTTACTATGACTTTCGACTTTCTCATGAGAACTATGATATAGTTTGTTGCATTGGAATTTTTTGTTTATCTTAAATATTTCAAAACACACAGAAATGACAAATTAATTTAATTCAACAATATTTTTTTACATTTATTGGTTGGTTGTGAAGATAGTATACAAATAATAATTAATATACATATCACTTTAATCATATAATATACAGATAATCTGATGATTACAAAAAAGAAATTAATAAATATAATACAATGCAATAGCTGTGCAATTTAAAATTTCTACACACTATCCAGATGGAATGGTTACTGACACGTTTTTTCAAGCTGATGATGGTACTGCATATTTCTGAAATTAAAAACAAATGTAATTTATTAAGAGACTGAATATAAGAATAAAAAGTATTAAAGAGTTATTATGACATAGATTAATTAGAGATATGCCATTCCAATCCTACATCACTATATTTATCTTCACACATATTATCCTCAAAATGTCTTCCTAAGATATATAATTTTCTGAATATTAAAAGGGAAAATCCCAATGGTTGGCAGTATACCATAGTGGTATACCATTTGATTTCTTGGTAAACATTAAAAACTTTGTTTTATCCAAGTTCATATTTAAGCCTTAATGTAAACTTGCCTATAAACTTTTTGGACTATTCTCTGCAAATCTTCAATGTGCTCTGCCTTTAACACAGTGTCATCTGCATACCTTCTATTATTAATAGGCATCCCATTTATTACAACAGCAGTGATTTTGTTGTGCAGTGCCTCTTGCAGAACTTCCGAGTACAAGATAAATAGTAATGTAGAGATAATGCACCTCTTGCCATACCCTTAATTTTTATGTTCTCTGATTGTGTATTAATATCCACTAATCCAAAATTATTGTCATCATAGTGGGCTCTAAAGGACAGAGATAACTATACAGCACATGTCTATCATTAATTCAGATATGATTGTCACTTTACATCAACTTTGACTTAAGTAAACAAAATTATTATTAAAAATAATTTTCATGGATGAACAAAAGCAATCTATGCTCAAAATGGCCATAGAATTAAAGGAGAATAGGTTTAATCCAACTGAGATGCTTTTAAAGATTTTTGTTGAAGAATTTCCCAATGTTGCAGTTCATTATGACATCTTTTGCACAACTATTCATCGCATTGTAGATGTTTATAGAGAAACATGAAGCGTAACTGAAGAAAACATTGCACTGGTCAGAGCAGTTATTGTAGATCAACCACATACATCAATTGGGCATTTACATCAACAAGTAGATCTTTCATACTGAACTTGCTAACATATTTACATGTTCATGTGTATTCCTTACAAGCCTTCCATGAAATCACCCTAAAGGACTATCCTCAAAGCCTTCTGTAATTGCTTTCTGAACAATCTCAATAATTATGATGTATTAGACAAAACTTTTTTTACTGACAAATGTTTCAGCTTTCTCAGTACACAAATTCTCAGAATATGAGATAACAAGCATTATTAAAACGCCTTTATATTCACAGAAACTTATCTGCTATGCAAGCAACATATTGTAGGACCTATATTTTCAAAGGGATTCTAAATGCTGAAAGATACCCTTAAGAAATTTCAACTCCATTTATAAATCAATTGATGATGAATTAATAGAAGGATATTATAAACAAGACGGGGCTCGAATTTATACAATGCACAATGCTGCAAAATTTAAATTTTATTATGAACTTTGTCAACAATTGGGTCATAATTTTAGATATGCCTATTGTATTCCCCCCTCAATCCTGTGATTTGACTCCCTGCGATTTTTTTCTGTGGCAACATTTGAAAAATTACATTTTTAAAACCCCTACAGCGGATTTGGAAGAATTTAGACAAAAAATAGAGAATCATATTGAAGAATTAAATAATACTCTGTGGGTCGTAAACAATATTATAGACTCAATGAGAAGAAGAGTTACATTATGTAGAAATGTTGGTGGTGGACATTTACAGCATGTACTTTGATTTTATTTATTATTGTTACTTATAATTTTGTTAATTTTTTTTTTATTTTTGACACCCCTTTGACCATATTAAAGCTGTTAGCTGATTTTTTTTATATTCAACAATGTTAATCAAAATTAAGTTATATACCAAAAATACAAATTCAGATTAAAACAAGACTTAAGTAATTTTTTGCTTTGATAGCTTTGATAAAAATAATTATGGATCACTCGTTATTATATCGATACATTTTTGGCAAAGTAACGTAAGTGACATTTTTGGCAAAAATCATGTTATTCATTTAAACTAACACTATTTTGTTAAAAAGGTACTGCCAAACTGTAGTAAGCCTAGAATTACTTTAAACCTTTTTTAGGACAAGTAGGACAAGTTCTTTCAGTCATAATTTAATAAGTTTAACCAGGTTGAATTAAAAAATTGTTTTTTCTACATACAAATCATGTTTGGTGACTTACGTTACTTTGCAAAAATGTATCAATATCATAGAAGAACATTATGTAACAATTATCTATTTTCTTTCATGCAAGAACAAGCCTGAAACTCAACAACAGATAGCACTGGATAAACTGAAAGACCCAGTGATACAAGCAAAAATAAGCAATGAAATAAACGCACAAATTCAAATATTAACGACAAACATTACCGAAGATCTAAACACCAACATGGAATACGATTACAAGTGCTGTAACAGACATCATGAAAAACAACTTAGGGTATAAACGAAATAACAAGAGGCAAAAATGGATGACAGAAGAAATACTATTACTAATGGAAGAACGATGA